TAGTCTTTCAAGCTGAGTAAGATACTTCTGCTCCTCCAAATCAGGAGCATCTGCCTGACCAGTGTTCCAAGTCTGGTCTGCCCCTGGAAGCTGGGGAGAAAATCGTACTTTACTGGCTTAGCTCCAGTGTTTCTCTTGACATATTTCCTTCTTTAGACTATGCTGCCTGTTGGCTGTGTGCGGATCATCCCCTATAGTGACCAGTATGAAGAGGCATATCGGTGTAACTTCCTAGGGCTTAGCCCTCATGTCCAAATCCCATCCCACATACTATCGTCTGGTAAGAACCTGTTGTGGAACCCTCTCCTTTCCCTATATTCTTATGTTAAAAGACACCAAGATTTTTTTTTTTGTTTGTGATTAAGTATTGGCAGATAGTCTAACAATGCTGGATGAACTAAAACCTGTATCACTTTATTATTTTTTTTTTTTTCCCCATATCCTTGCCTGATCAGTAGTTGAAAGGTGTGACACCTGCTTTAAGCACTGCTCTTACTGTAGCTGACAGTCCTGGTTCCTGTGGAGGAAAGGTTAATGCTGAGCTGAATGCTATAAGCTGACAGAGCTGTGCTTTCTTGGAGCAGGGTGTCTGGCTGTATTTTAGAATCTGGGCTAATACAGTTAATGTTGTTTTGGGCTCCTGTTGCTCTAGAGTTTGCGGTCCTTGTGGAAGTTCGTGCTGCTACCCGGTCCAGTCTCTACCCAACTCTGTTAGATGATGAGCAGTCCCTCAACAAGTACGAGTTTGTCGTCACCAGTGGTAGCCCAGTTGCAGCAGATCGAGGTGGGTGATTTGAAAGCAGAAAGAACCTGTATTGCTGAGGTTAAAGGAGCGTCCTGATCTTTGTTTTTCATGCTGTCATGTACTGGCCATTAAGGAGGTCTGAGTAGAAGTCAGGTCAGTGTACAATTGGGGTAATGCTGTTTGAGGTAAAGTCTACCACAGTGTGTTCAATTATAAACGGTTTGCTTTACCAGATCAGCATTTTGCTTATTAATTTTCAGAAATGAGAAACTAATTCTGTAATCAAGCCAAATTCTATGTTGAAATTGGCTGTGCTGTTATTAGTAGTGTAGCTTTCTGCATATAGAGGAAGCTGCATTAATGCACCAGACCAAAGTACTGGTGAAAAATGAGTGCAGGCTGGGGCTCTTGAACAGAATAAGAGGTGGAACAAATGTGTATTCTTGTCTGTAATTCCAGTAGGTATTCAGGCCCAAGTCATAGAAGTGGACTAGTCCTTGCTGACAATTACTAGTAAAGGTATAAGCGAGTAACCTATAGCTTGGGTGTCCTCTTTCTCACCCTTTTTCCTGATCCTGTAGTTGGCCCTACAATCTTGAACAAGATCGAAGCTGCCCTGACCAACCAGAACCTCTCTGTAGATGTTGTGGATCAGTGCCTTGTTTGCCTGAAGGAGGAGTGGATGAAGTAAGTACGACTACATTGCTTTCAAAGAAACAGTTTTGACACTAATTCTGGAACAGTTACAGCAGAGTACAGAACAAACTCACAGTCAGGTAACTTCTGCTTTAGTATTGAGGGTAGTTGGCTTTACTGTTGCGAGCTAAGAGTATCGGAGTTCTACTCTCGCCCTAACTCACTTTTTGGCTTTCAGCAGTTCTTAACCTTTACGCTTCAGTTCAAGCATCTGTAGGTTTCCTACATGACAAAACTTGTCTGCCTTACGTACATTATGAGGATTAAGTATGCAAATACATATATGCCTGTCAGTGTGCGCTATTTTCCAGTGCAGATAACACACCAAACAGATGTCAGGATTGTGCCTTCAGGCACTACATTTCACAGACGCAAGTAGTTATAAAGGAAGACCGGACAGTCATGTGAAATAATTCATGGAACATTACGATTTTGTGAATTTACTTGAAGGCCAGATGGGCACTAGATCTGTCTCCCAGGGAGGTTCCCAGTTGTCACAATCATTTTAGTTCTCACTAGAATGAAAAAACGGATGAGAATTACACACATGACTAGTGAAAATGAGTAATCCCCCTAGCTGATCCCCCCCTGTTCTTGTACTCTTCTTACCCCCCACCTTCTTCACTCAAAGCATGAGAAGAGTTTCCATGGGATATTGTTGGAAGCTTTTATTAACATTTAGTTGTAGTAGGTACTGAGAGAAGCTACGATCGCTGCTCATTCCCAGTTTGATGCATGCGAATCCACTGTAATAGTGACGGGAGTTTCTTGTTTCTGCAGTAAAGTGAAAGTCCTCTTTAAATTCACTAAAGTGGACAGCAGACCCAAGGAGGATACCCAAAAACTGCTGAGCATTCTGGGAGCTGCAGAGGAAGACAACGTCAAGCTTCTCAAGTTCTGGATGACTGGCCTGAGCAAGACGTACAAGTCCCACCTGATGTCAACAGTTCGCAGCCCAACGTCCTCAGAGTCCCGGAACTAAAGGGTGCCCAACCTCACTTGCTGCCTTCAGATAATCGCAGGGAACGCCGAGTTACCGCTGCTGAGCCTGCAGCATGTGCGTTAGGTGGATAGTGAAACTTCATCACTGTTCTTCTAGTCCTCAAACTAACTTGAAGAGTGACTTGAGTCTTTTCTAATTGCTGTGAGACTGGATTAATAAGTGCTAATAAATAGTGCTGCTGTCTGTCCTGAAACTCAACTCTAAATCTAGACCTCCACACTCAAGACTAAAATGCAGCAACACTCAAAGAATCAGCCCGAATTAATTAAAATCCCATACTGTCATTGTTAAGCGTTATGGTGTGGCAGTAGACCTCGGGTTTAGATTTTCTTGGCAAGACTCAGATACCAGTGACAACGTCCGGGACTCCTGGGAGTGGATACAGTTAATCTCTCTGAATCCCACATAAATCTCCTAAATGCCTGAGAAAACAAGAACCAAAAATAAGTGACACATCCCAGGGTATGGATCACATGTAAATTATTGCAAACCACTTTATGCTCGGATTTAAGAAGAGACTATTTTCTGCTGTAGCATAAGTCAGGATATCCTACTGGAGTCCTGTCACTCCACTTTATTTATTTATATCTTAACTTGAGACAGTTTCAGCATTTGCTTTGGAAATCTTTTCTGGGAGGGAGAATTGTAATATAAGAAGTTTCAAAATGCAGCCCGCTTGCTTCTCTAGAGGGTAGAATACTTGCCTTGTTTTGCCTGCGGCTGCAAAACTTCCAGGTAATGAAGACAACCTCACCAGGAGAAGGTTGCTGGTGTTCTGTCTTCAGAAATAATTTTCTAGCTTCCTAATTAAGTTAAGCAGAAAAGATCCAACCTGTAGGTGCTCCCTTCTTATATAACTCTATAGTAGACATTTTTGCTTAATAGTTCATGGAAACATTGGTGCATTTTTTAATTACCTAAACAGATATTCCTTATCTGTATTGTAAGGAATTACTGTTTCTGTTGTGAAGTCTTTTTTTTTTTTTTTTTTGGTCTTTTTTTTTTTTTTTTTCTGGATCATTGTTGGGAAAACTTGACGTTACCATAGAGATTTTTAACAAGCTAGAGGCAGGTTTTACCAGGTGACCTTCTACACTCATTCAAACGAGACTCAAGCTCAGAGATGTTTCAACTTGTCACAAGTTCTGTTCTTATATATAAAATATGCAGGTTGATTTTTGTCTGGAACATCTGTAAAATGGCGACAGGCATTAAATCTCATTAAGAGCTATTTTTGTAAAATGGACAAAGCCTTGTTTTGTGTTGATTTTCAATGTGTGTGTGTGTTGGGGTGGGGGAAGAAGCAGTTGATCCACAAGGTATTTGCTATACCTTAGAGTTGATCTAATTTACAGAATTTAACAGGTCTTTTCCTCTTAGCTTTGTATGTATTAGTTTCTGGTACATACGGAGCAAGAGATGCTCATAGATATTAATTGAAAATTCTTGACTGGATACAAACAACCGCAGAATATTCAAACAGCAAGCAGATGCTTAGAAAAGGGCATTACTCTGTTACTTCAAACACTTAATTTCAGGGTTTGCAAAAAGACTTGCATTTCCCAATTGTCAATAAGGAAACAGGAAACAAAAGAGGTGTTCAAGCTCTATCCACGGGAAAGGAAGTTTTGAATAATATATGCACCTTGCTTGCTAGGTGCTAGTCATGAAGGAAGAACAAAGCCCACTGCTAGTGGGATAAAAGCGACAGAAGTCATTAGAAAAACATGGACTAGAAAATCAGAATTTCCAGTGCTGGGTCTGTGCCTATTCTTGTGCGTACCTCGTACTCTTTATTCTCTACTTGAAAGCTATTCTGGTCCAATTCAAAGCTACGTAACGCAACAGGTAAGGCGTTATTTGGCATTTATACCTTTTTGACTGCTAAACTGTTTCTGCTTTTTAAGAATAGCTTTCCCAAGAAAACCAACATTAAAACCTAGTCTTTAACCCACAGTTGGTGCATAAGCACCCCCTGGCAAATCCCACGTTTCTGAACAGAAGTGTGGTTTCTTCCAGAATGGTGATTGCAAGGTCAAGCTTGAGGCTTCAGCCCCTTCTTCCACGTGCTTGTGTAAGCAGCGAGTTGTACAGGATGTCAGTCAGTCTCTGCCCTGATCTGAAATAGGACTGTGTCACAGACAGCCAGACTCTGGGTAACATATAATTTCTGAGCCAGGGCAAAGAAACCACCAACTTAACACTTATAAAATGCCCAAAAGAAAGAAGGGGGAAGAGTTGCCTGGTCCGTGAACCCAGGGCTCCTATGTAGCATAAAAACAGATGTGCTTGCCTGCCAGAACAGATCTATATGCAGGATTACCAAATAATTGTGGGGGCAAGTTCCCACAGTTCGCAGATGACGCCGCAGGCGCTCCTTTTGCCGTCGGTGATAGCTGGAATGTGCACGCTCCTCTTAGCGCAACTCAATTAACAAAAAAGGATGTCTGCAGCCATCTTTCGCCACCCTCCTTCCCTCTAAACCCTACGCCTTGAAGACAAACTGATTCATGTTTCTTTATTCTGACGTGATTTCCTTTTTCTGCGTGGCCGAGCAGCGTCTACCTGGGAGGGAGGAGCGGCGAGTGCTGCAGCTGGAGGTGAGCAGAGACCCGCCGCCGGCGCTGGGTCACTGGTTGGGCTGCAGTTACAGTCAGAAAGCCTTTTTGCTGTAGTTTTACCGCCCTCAGCCAGGCAGGAGCCAGCTTAAAGGACCTGCTGAGCTCTCGCAGTGCAGCCGGCTGGCGTTTGGGGAAGGGTTACAGTCAGCTGCAGCTGGCAAGGAGGACCTGCAGTAGCTCTCCAGCGCTTCCAGGAGAGCTCGCCATCCGTCCTTTTCCCCCCCCCCCCAAAGCAGCCCAAGCCCCCGGGGGGGGTTAAAAGCGGGATCGAGGGCTCCGGCGGCGGGCGGCTCCCTCAGGCGCCTTTCCCGCCCTCTCCGCCTTTCCTCGCTCGGAGCGACCGCGCATGCGCCGGCCCGGCGGCGGCGGGGGCATGTGGGCGGCGGGGCGGGAGGGCCTGGCGCTGGCCATGGCGGCGGCGCTTGCGCTGGCGCTGGCGGGCTGGGGGCGGCGGCGGCGGCGGCCCCTCCGCGAGGTGCTTTTCTTCCCTTCTCCTCCCAGCTGCACCGAGGCGCTGCTGACCGAGGCGGCGGGACCCGGCGAGGCGCCCCGGCCCTGCCCTTGCCCCTTACCGCGCGGGGACTGCTCCCTCAGCCGCCTCTTGCGCCTCCTCCTCTCCGCACGCCGCTCCCTCGAGATCTGCCTCTTCGCCTTCTCCAGCCCGCAGCTGGGCCGCGCTGTCCAGCTCCTCCACTGCCGCGGCGTCCGCGTCCGCATCGTCACCGATGCGCAGTACATGGGGCTCCAGGGCTCCCAGATCGGCCTCCTCCGGCGCGCCGGTGAGGCGGCCTGCCCTGGGCGAGGGGCCCTGTGTGGCAGGGCACGGCCCGGCGCTCCTCGGGGCGGCTGCGGCCCCGGTGAGAGCTCCGGTGCCCGCTGCAGGGGTGGTTGTGTCTTTGTAGGGATCCAGGTGCGCCATGACCAGGAGGGAGGTTACATGCACCACAAGTTCGCTATCGTGGACGGGAGGATGCTCATCACAGGCTCCCTCAACTGGACCACCCAAGCTATCCAGAACAACCGGGAGAACGTGCTGGTCATGGAAGACGCCGAGTATGTGAAGCCTTTTCTGGATGAGTTTGAAAGGATTTGGGAAGAATACAATCCCACCAACTACACATTTTTTTCCAAAGACAGTAAATGAGTGAGCTGCCCCACAGGGCTGGTGGAGTACTTAACAGCTAGCATTCATGAACCTTCTTCTTACGTATAGACATCATTGTATTATCCCTCTAGGTGTAATTTAGGTAAGCTCCTCCAGAGAAGCGAAGTGCTCTCTACCCTGAAGTGCCACAGGTCCCTTGCTGTGGGTCATTCCCACGCTAGAGGGAATGACCCAACTGCTTGGTGAGTTGTTTTGTGAGGATAGCTGTGATAGGACTGCATTCATAGAGCTTAAAACTACGGGCAGGCTCGTTGCCTGTAGACGAGGTACATTCATACGGTGCTGGGTAGGTGTTTAAACAGTGAAATGGACATGTTTCCAACTTGAGATACCACAGAATGGAATTGTAACCCAGTGGCTCCTCTACATCACTAAAGGAAGAGTTAAGAGGGCTACAGAATAGCGAGACTTTGTATAGAGAGATTAAGCACCTTAGTTACATTTTTTGTTGGCATTAATTGTTGAAAGTTTGTGAAGGGTAATTTGTGGGAAATTAGAAGGCAGAAATTAGAAGTACATTTTGATTGTGTACACATTTCCTTTGGTTTAAGATTAGCAGAGCTCCAGCCTAAAAGCGTCAGAGCAGATATTAATGATAGCCTGTCTTCCTTGAGGGAAGTGTAGGGGAGTCTGGAAAGAAATGAGAGGAACTGTTCTTTGGGATCAGTTGGTCTTGTCTTGAGAGCAGACATGCTGGAGTTCAGTCACCAACTTCAGAGTGAGCAGTGGAAGGAAACCTCAGTTCATTCAGGTGGGGACACGGTGTGAGGGTCTGGCTTGGTGACTTCCACCACCTTTGTTGGCAGCGGCAGGGTGGGGGACAGGGAGTGACAAGGAAGAGGGAGGGAGGTAAGATCTCTGTCCCTGCAGTTCAGGGTAGAAGAAATGGGTGTAAACTTAAGAATTTCAAAACTAAACAGCATCCGTGTTAAGAATTACATTATACTGAATATAAAGTGCCCCAAAATCTCTCACAGTGAAAAAAGGTCTTAATGTTTTGTTACCAGTTTTGCTTGTCGCAGAAGTGCCATGACTGGCATTATTAAATAAACCGTTTTCACAGAAAAGCTCAACATCTTCTGGGTTTTGCACTCCTGGCAGTCCTTGTGGGTTGGCTGTTCCAAAGATACAAATTATTAAAAATTCCTATAGATCCTTAGGTTATTTAAGTTACATGGAATAACATCAACAGATTGCCAATTTGTTCTGTTCTGTTTGAGAAAGTTGGCATGGGTCTGGGAGGAAAAAGCATTACTGTTACCTGTGGAGTAGCAAGTATGGAAGAAGCTGAGGAAGCTCATTCTCCAGTAAATTCTGTTCAGCAGCATTAGATAAACATGTTACTGCTATTAAAATACTACCTGTTGCATTTTCTTGGTGAAGTGTGATTATAAAAGCAAACAGCTCATTTTCAGGATCTGGCCTCTGCTCTGTTCTTTCTGTAGTAGCGTCCTTTTTGAAATAAATGCCTCACTACACAGCATGCAAAGGGTGGTGCAAAAATAGTTTATTACGATATAGTTAATGTAAAGTTAGGTAATTATATTTACAAAATAAAAATGATCAGCTACATCCATGGGAACCTAGCATGTCACACAAGATTTTGTAAGGAATAAATACTGTGAGAAAAAGTGACGTTTCTATTACAGCGAGCAGTTGATGGGGATCAGTGGCTCTTAAAAAAGCGCTGAAATGAACTGGAGTGGAAGGGAGAAGGGAAGGAGAGAGGAACTCACACATACCGAGAAACAGGAGCCGCCAACGCCTGTTCCCCTCTGCAGCAGGAAAATACCACAGGTGAGATGTTATTTCCTGGATTACTCTGTGTGGAAAATGCCCTTGAAAAGAGGCTGTTTGCCCTATGGATGGACAGGGCTCGAGGGCACCCGTGCCTCCTCCTCTCCCCTGCTGTGTTGGTTCTGGGGTTTGCCAGTAGCTGTGAGCAGAAACTGGGAAAGGACTCTTGCGTCCTCACTACTCCCAGCTCCTTCGGGTCGTTTCCAGAGTACATACACATGGTAGAGCGTGGTTTGGGGGGGGGGTTAATCCAGAAAGAAGTCCCCTTTGGTGACAGGTCGGTCGTCGGTTACAGCTGTGCTCAGACGGTGGAAGAAGAGCTGTGCTTTTACTTTAGGATGGTGGAGGAAGGCTGACCATGAGTACCTGAACGGCCAGTGCCACTTCAGCTACCACCCACAGACTTGCAGAGCTTCCTTCTCTTTCCCCCAGACTTCATCCTTTCAAATAAATGACTCTTTAAAACCTCAAGTCACCCAGAACTCCAGGTCCCAGGAGGGCGGACATGGGTCAAAGACTGCGCATTTGTATCTGCTTCCTACTTACCGTAGTCTTTTGTATTTTACAACATACTTTGCTGTCTCTAGTTTAGAACAAAGAGTGAGTGTTCTTGTCAATCCTGCACACAGGCAGTGCCTGATGAAAACATGAAGAAAATAATTAGAATTGCACTCATTGTTTACGAGTTCATGGCCGGGTGGCTTCGTTCAGTTGGTACCAACTTGTCCGGCTCCTCAGGTTTCTGCTAGTCAATCCCACGCCCTCGGTTTCTCAGACTGAGGCAGGACAAACCGAATCTTGAAACGCGCTGCACAAGTGAGTTCCAGCGTTACACCGGAGCCTCCCAGGGCCGGGAGCTCGCTGCGCTGGCTCCAACAGCCCACACCTACTCTGCAAAAAGAGCCGGGCGTGCTCTGCCACCCAGTAGTTGCTGCTACTCAGCATAACGCTGGACAGCAGATTGCACACGCGCCGCGTTAATGCCGCTACCAAATACAAGATTACCGAGTTCTCCGAAGGGAAAAAACCCAAACCCCAAGTTTATAGCGCAGTAAGGTTACAGTTCTCAAACAATCTTTGGACAGGTGTCTTGAAAACTAAAGGTCCAGGTCAGCAGAAAAGGTTTGAAAAGATATTTATAACAGTCATCAAAACCAAACAAACAGTTTCTCAGGGCAGCTGGGGCGGGTTGGGCACATCACGCTCGGAGCGCCTCTCCCAGCCCGCGCAGGGGACGTCTGTGTTAGAACAAGAGTTAAAAATCAAAACCACAACTTAGTCACAAAAGAGAACCCTCCACTAATTTCTGAGTAATAAATATTTACATTGCGTGCTCTGAATACTATACAGGTTTTAAATTACTTTTTTAAAAGAGAAGAATAACAAAGCTTTTTTTTCTTAAAAAAATGGAAAAAAATTACAGGGGAAAGGCAAGCTACACCGAGCGTGCATGTGCTTAAGTGCTCACAACAAACTAAGTACTGCATCCAAATCATGTTAAAAAATGCAAAGGTCTAGTGGAAGTGCAATCAGCTATAGAGTTGGTGCAAAGGTGACACATTTTACAGTGCTGGGGGGCAGCACTATTAATGCAGTCCCGTCCACCTCTGTTAGAGGAAAAAAAGATTTTTCTGGTTTGCAAGTCAGCACACAATTCTAGTTTCGAAGCAAATTTGCTTCTTTTTTTACGCGTGGGCAAAGAAAAGGTCACATTTAAAGAAGGATTCAGCCTGTTTCAGGGGAGACGGTGCAAATGGTTGGTCAATTTTACGCAAAAAAAAAAAAAAAAAAAAAAGAAATACTGCTTGGAGCCAGTTAGAAGGTGTCTGTCTGCACCTTCGCTGCGCTTGACTTGCCCTAGAGCTCACGGGTCAGTGCTAGAGCTGTGGCAAACGCGGCGGTTTGCCCATCACGTGTTGGGCCGGGTACAGACGGTCCTGGGCGAGCGTCGGCGGCAGGAAAACTGCGCCGGGCAGCGGCACGGTGCAGACGGACTTTGAAAGGCTCCAGTGCAGGCGGGGAGCTCGCCCTCCCCTCCCCATACTAGTTGTACCTTCTCCACACGCTTCCTAATTTAAATAGCCACTGGTTTAGCTTGGAAGATGGATGGAGCCTGGAGCAGGAAGAAGCAATAGGATAACTAAGGACCACTGCTATCAGTAAAAAAGCTTTCCAGCTGTTTTTTTTTTTGTTGTTGTTGTTGTTTTTGTTTTTTTTTTTTTTTATAAAGCACTGCTCTCTGCAGAAATATTTCAATTTTTGGCTGTTTATTGGTGCTGCAGGTTGTCTCTCTTTAATGTAAAGGCAGGTAACGTGCTGCCTCTTGCTTCGGAGCGATGCTTAGGTCGTTGCCAGACTTCAAGCAGAGCAGAGCACAAGGCCTGGAGCGCAGCCTGCAGCAGAACAGCTGCCTGCACACCACAGCATCTTCCCTCCTCCTCCTTTTCTTCGTGACTCCCCCAAACTCATCACTACCGCCGTCAGACATCGTATGCAGCGGGCCCGCCCGGTGAAGTGCTGCCCCAACGGCTGAGCTTCATCCTGACGACGCTGAGGCCGTTGCTCAGCCCCAGATGCACCTTCGGTACGGCAGAGCCAGGTTCTCTGTTTTAATTTTTCAAAGGAGCCCAACTCCCCAGTGGAAGATGGCTGCTCCTACAAGCTACAGCGTATGAGACCACCACCACTGCTATGTTTATAAAAGACCCCTTTGCTTAGTGATAAATATTTTAAACCCATGAAACTCAGCAATAAGATTAATTGATTTGGCTTGTGAGGCATTGCTGTGGCTGGCCTCCTGCCATCTAACACATTTTATTTCAGCTAGACCTGTAGTTAGTGCCACGTTTGTTTGTTTGTTTTCTCCCCAGCAAACCTGCCTGTCTTGCTTTTCACAGCAATCTGAAGGTCTAGAGAAGCTGGCCAATATATATTAAATAAAAGTTCCCCAACAGCAAACCTCTGAGCAGCTGATCCCTTCAATTCAATTCCTTTTACAGATGTTTCAGGGAGCCCAGAAAAGGGGGTGATGGGAGGACTGACATTTTCTGTTCAGTAAGGTAAAAACAAACCAGAGGAAAGAGGGGAGAAGAAAATCCAGCTTCATTTCTGCTGGTGCTGGATCCCCTGGCAGTGCCTCACCGGAGAGATGCAAAACGCCATGTGCATTGCTTCGGGTGGAGAATTGACACAAATGGCTCAGGAATTATATATGATCCCTTGCTTGGCGAATGGGCACGTCTATAGGAAAGGAGCAAGAGCTGTACAAGCGTTCCTGGGTGACATTTCCCCCCACTAAACATCAGTATATTTTTAAATGTATAAATAAGAACACTCCCCCCCCTACAGCCTCTCATCACAGGGCAATGTAGGGCCCGAGCACAAGCGGAAAGTTCTTCTCTGGACCCTCCCTGTCCTCATTACCCACGTGCTTTGCACAGCTCCCTGTGCCGCTGCATTTTTATCACACCTTCTTCTGCCTTCCTGCACTATCCACCACCAAAGTGTTGCCACCTTTGCCAACGCACTGCAGTGCCTTTCTGCCCATCCTCACCTTTTTCTTTTTTTTTTTTTTTTTTTAAAAAAAAGACTGTATTTACACATGCTGAGTCAAAAGCTGGGGATGATCCCCACCTGATCGCTCCACTTGTGCCCTCCACTTACCCAGCTGTTCTCTATGTTAAGAAATAAGGCTCAAAGCAGGAGCACCGGCAAAGAAATCAAGTGCTCTTACTTGTTTGGCTCAATACCTTGTGCCAGGCAGGACACTAAGCTGCAAGAGAGGATTTCTTGGTATAAGCAAGCATAGAGCAAAAAACATCCCTCTGTGGGGAGCCTCAAGATGCTCAGTGGCATGATCAGAAAGGGTCCGTCTTGTGTCCTCCACACCACCGGTGTGTCAATGCAACGTGCATAACCTCGAGGCCTTGCGCTTAAAATAAGTGCTCCTGAGCAAATGAAGTACGCGAAGAAAAAGCAAGACTTGGTAGGGGATGTAAGAAAGTTCAGGGTCCACATGGCAAGAAGGAGACCAACGCATGTTCTGCTTGGCTGGCTAGAAAGGACAAAGTCCCACCATGTGTCTGGGGAGGAGGAGGAGGAGGAGAAGGAGGAGGAAGAGGAGGGTGTCCTCCTGGAGCCAGTGACATCTTGTAAGGGAAGAGCAATGATGATGACAAGGCCTAGGTGCCGTCCTAGCGCTGCGTCCCGTGGCCTCTGCCAGGAGATCAGAGCTCACCACGGAGCCGGAGCAGCCAGGGATGAAGTGTAGAGGTTTTCCCTGCTGAGAGCTGGACTTGGGATGGGAGCAAGCCAGGTGCCTGGGTCAGGTCACCAGCTCCTGCTGCGCTCAGAAAAGCGTACACAAACCACAGTGGACGGAGTTACCTTCCCCCCTAAGGACCAGCCTGAATTGAGATGAACCTGGGCCACCGCACTGACGTCTCTGCTGGTCCTGCAACCTACTCTGCTTGGCAGGTGCTGATGTCCCTGCTTTGACTTAAAGACTGCCTGTAGCTGCTCGTAGATGCCACCGAAGCGCCACGTTCCCAGCTGCTGCGAGCATGGGGACCTGAGCACACACCCTTCACCCAACCGTCAGGTTATACCAGAGACCCAGACCTCTCACTTCAGTCAAGTGCAAGATGCCAGCAGAGAGAGAAACCCCACATGGGACTAGTGACTAGTCCTCTTCTAGAAGTGGACTTCTAAGCACCACGCATGCACGCTTGAGCTGGAGAAGGCTGAATTTGGGAAGGGCTACAAGCAAGGAGAGCTGCATCTGGATCTCCTTAGCTGGAAGGGAAGCAGGACCCCGCGCCATGGCTGTAAAAAGCCACTGCTAAGCATTATCAACATCCATGAGTTTATCAACAACAGTCTGTGCTTTAGATGGCCATCAGCTAGCTCAGCATGGGGAGAGCGACCATTTCCACTCCGGGGCTTCCCAGTCTGGAGTTTTATCAGGCAGGCGAGAAGCTGATGGCGAGCAGCTTTGGGCACGCAGGCCACATTCCTCCACGGTGGGATGGGAGGGGGACTAAGGCGGCTGCTCGCTGATGGCTGAAAGCAAACGCAGTGCAAGGAGCAGCCCTGAGAGCGGCCGATGGCTGAGGTGGTCCAGGTGGGTCATGGCTGGGAAAGCTCTTGGGTCATCCAGCGCTGATTACAGAAAACGCTACGGTGAGCTTGGATTAGGGTGAGTGGCTGCACATCAAACCATCTTAGAGGGCACAAGGGAAAAGCTTTTGTATCCGAGTGGTCGAGCATCTTTCCTACCCTGCTTCTATCTCCAGGACTTCCATGTACACCCAGGCAGAGGTTACAGAGCGTCACAGTGGGAGAGCATCGCTGGGCATGCTCTGCCCGGTGCTGGCTTCTTGGTCAGGGACAAGTGGGGCTCCTACGAGCAGGACTGGACGGCTGCCATGTGCTGCCACAAGTGCCCTGGGAGGTGCCAAGCCGAGCACGTGGCCGTGGCAAAGCCACACAAGCTGGACGAGAGCCTCATCGACGCCGTGGGTAGATGACACCGTCTCCTGCTGAGGGTCTGGTGGCTGAAACTCTTGCTGCTCAGAGCGGGAGGAGGAGGGTGAACTCGCCGGCACCCGCCGTGGTCCAACTTGACAGGGTTGGAGACGTCTGCCACCGCCCCCGTGGTGCTCACTGCTCCGGAGCTCCAGGAAGAGTTTGCTCAGAGGGCTGTGCTTGTACCGTCTGCCTAACGGACCCAAAAATCAGCCACGAGAGCACGCAGAGCTGCCTGCTTCAACCACGTGTTAAGTGCCCGAAAGACAAGAGGAAGCTTTGCTCCAACTGAAGGCTCAGGTGTATCTTTAACAGCCCAGCCCGATGCGATACGGGTCGCTCAGCAGCTCAACAGGGCTGGGAAAGCAACATGCCAGAGCGCTGCTTCAGCCCTGCTCCCAGCCAGGGCCATCGGTCAGGCAGGACCCGGTGTCTTTACAGGCGGCATCATGAAATTTAGCCCGGGATGAAGCCACCGTGCCTGGGCAGCCCTGTGGCAAAGCAGCATAGGCTTCCTCTAGGAAGACTCCTCGGCTGGCTGTGTGCTGCATCTAGTGCTACCAGCTCCCTCAACTCACTTGTAGTCTGTATTCTTCTATCGGCCTCACGGTGCTGAATTGTATGCTTTAAATGCAAAAGCTATTATGACTGAGAAGGTCTGAAGCACATACTGGTTTTGAGACTTTTTATTTCAGGAAAAGGTTAAAGAATTAAAATAGGAGCTGCCCTGCTGACAAGAAGAGTTGAATTCAAGAAGCTGATAAAAAAGGAGCATTATATGCATTGAGCACTGTGCATTTTCAGTCAATATTTGCTCTACTTTCTACTCTACTTTCCTTTGACTAGGAAAAGGGAGTTTCACATGCGCACAGACCCTGGGATACACGGGACTCAATGAGAGGAAGGGAGTAACAGCAAAAAAAGAGAGTGCTGGGCTTGATCTAACGGTGGCAAGAAAGTGATCTTACAGCTCGGCCCCCGACACACCGACTCCGACCACCAGCGAGACAGGAGGCAAAGACACGCCGATGGGGCCGACTCGATGGTGCACGCGAGTTATCTGCAGCTCCCTATCCATAACCGCCTGGGCAGCCACCGAGGCTCGCCGGGCTTCGGTATCGCCTACATTCAGGATACGGCACAGTCACGGGGCAGGAGGATCATTTCTTGCGTCCTTCTCCAGCGAGATGTCAGTGTTGTACCTCCAGGCTGCGTACGCCGGCACGGACTTGCGCTCCCCGACAGCTTCCCCCAGGCTTCCCCCCCCGCCCCCCCCCCCCCTTGTAGGTGCAAGTAATGCAATCGAGATCAATGGTTAGATTAGGCTCCTGGTGTGCTCTGAGCACTGGGTCTCTTGACAGCAGTAAGAGCTAGGTATGGCTGATACCACCCAGGCCCTGCTTGCATACCAAAACAGTTGGTACGACAGAGCTAGCTTATTAACAGGCTACTGAGCCTTAATACTGACACTTAGTGTAATGGTTTACAGTAAAGGAAGGATTCTCCTACAAAGCGCTGAAGAGAGGGGGAAAAAACCCCCCACCCCGATCCCTTCCTCTCCCTCCCAGAGTCTCTGGAGCGTCTCACAAGCAGGGAAAGGAGCTGGGGAGGCGAGGGGGTGGCGGGGGGGGGCACCACCACCGCGGCGCCGGGTCCCATCGGGGGCGTCAAGACGAACGACAGCAAGGACAGTCGTAAGGAACGAGAGACAAACGGTGCTGGTGCTGTGCTGCCTCAAGCTGGGAGGTGCGCGTGGTCAAGCGGAGCGGGGAGAACTAGTCTTTCTTCAAGTCCCTGGATTCAAAAAGCTTCAGGCGTTCTTGCACAGTCAGGCCTTCCTTCAGACTCTGGGAGAGACAAAAGACAGAGAAGCGTCGGGCACGGGAGGTGGTGGGCAGCGGGCACACGGAAAGGGTGCGGTGCTCAGGCAAAGGAGACGTGGGCAGCGGGAGAATGGCCTCCTTGGCCGAGAGATTAGTGGGACATGCTAAGAGAAAACACACGGTTATGGCGGGCGGTTACTGGGGAATGGCGCCTAGAGAGAGGGTGAGATTGCGAGCGAACCAGGCGACGTAGCAAAAGCAAACGAGAGGCACACCATGCTGCAAGCGGGATTAGCTCGACTCGGAAAATGCCCCCCGCCCCTGGAGCCTGCGGCGGGGCCGTGGCTGGGGCCATTTCAGCAGAGCTCTGGCCCTGGGGGAGCCCCGGGCAGCTCAGCTCGGCTCTGCTCCGCTGAAGCACCACGCTGCCGGGCAGGACCCGCGCGCCCGTCCTCCCCGCGCCACCGACTGAACGTGCGTCCGCCTGGGGGGACGGTCCTGGCTCCCGTCAATGTGCAGGCTTTGCTCAAGCAGCCCGGGAAACTGCATTTTTGTTGCCAGAGTCAATCCCACCCTTTCTCTAACCCCAGCCTGGGGGGGGGGGGGGGGGTGTTTCCCAAGCCAAAGCTGCCTCTACTGCAACGGGGTTAGACAGCAGACTCGCTAAATGCTTGCTTCAAGGTCTAGCAGGATCTGATGGCTGATCCGATTCAGATGCAGCATCCAGATTTCAAGGCACGACATTCAGCTAGCCAACCCCGTGCCGCTAGCCCGCGGCATTTGGATTTGTGAAATCTCTCGCCTGCCTACCCATGGGGACCCAGAAGAGCAGTGGGAGGGGGCAGAAACCCAGAAGGCAAATTGCTTGCCCGCTGTGTAAGCTTTAAGGAGCTTGAGGGGATGCGCAAGCCTAAAGCCAGCCTTCCCTCCTTCCTGCAGCCCCGAAGCTGAGGCCTAAGAGCTTCAGGGGAATTGTCCCTGCTTGCTGCTGCTGCTGCTGCTGCGGAGGCGCAGCCACCTCGCTGGCCAACAGCCAGGCCCACGGAGCGACGGCGTGACGAGGCTTTCGCTGCTGGGCTGTACCCGCTGTGGGACAGGCAGCCAGCTGCCCGCACGCACCCCGCAGGTAACCGCTGCCTGCAAGCCCATTCCTTGCAACTTAAAGGAATTCACTCTGCAGCTGGAGTATTATTTTGCTTTCCAGACCCAAACATGGCAGCTTCAAAAGGCCCAGACCTGTACACGAAATCAGCCGTCTCCCTTTTTGCTTTTACTTCCCTGACCGTGGTGCCAGAGGACTGAACAATCATAGCAGCAGGTGAGACTTTTGGGCTGGGTTTTCTTTAACGTGTTTATTGAGGCAGGGCTCCATGATAAACTTGCCCTGGGGCTGTGCAGATTTCCATGGTTACTGTATTTCTTTAAATGTTTCGCCTCCCACAGGCCCACAAATACAGAACGGCTTGCAAATGAAAGCACTAAAATGGATTGGTTTGAATTTACAAATTCTGTGTGCTTTCCTTTCAAGGGGCAGCGGAGTCTCTTGGGATACGAGTCTCCAAGCACACACTTCCTAAAGGAAGTTTACTTTGGGCCTCTTTAAATGGGCAGCAACCCAGGCATTCCAGCTTGTACATCTGATTCCTCATTAGGTGGAAGGAGACAACACACACCGTTGGACTATTCTGCCCGACGGTACAAATGCCAGCAAATTCACTCCTTAGGCAGTCTCACAACCCATGTGAGTTGCTGATGAGGGGAGCCTGATGAAGGGAGACTAATGTAGGATGAAATCTGTGATGAAGGGATCCTCCATCAGACTTCTGGGGCTCTCCAGCCACCTCTCTGCCATTGTCCTGGGGAGCTACCCTCTTTTCTCTAACCTCCCTCTGCAGGTACTCTAACCTCAGCTTTTACCACGGGCCAGTAAATTAACAACTGCTCCAGTTATTGGAAGTATCTGGGTCATTAGGATCTGCCTTGTTTCCCACCAGCTCCTTCCTTTTGCTGGATGAGCTCGGAAGCCTCAGGCCAGTGCCAAGGGATGGAGAGCAGCGGGGTGGACACCGGGGAGCTGGAGGAAGCCTGGGGAGCAGGAGGAGGAGGAGGTTACTGGGCAAGGAAGACTCTTTTGCACAGACACGGATCAACCTAAAAAAGCAACAGTTCTGGGTAAAGGACATTTAGGACATCCCCTCTTCAGCTGAGACAGCAGCCACCATTTTACATGTTACAGCCCTCTGAGGGAAGTCAATTTATAGGTATTACTGACCCACTCCTCTCCCTGGCTAACAGCAAAACAACTGTATTTCCTATAAGACCTGGATGTTGCTGAAGTTTAGTCTGAGGCATGCACAGTCATTCAAGCATGCACACTCAGCGTCCCACACCCCCAACACAGCAAAGAGGAAAATGTGCCCCACCATGTCCAAATCCTCTCCACGATGGTTAGTTGTGTTGGCGAGGGTGGGAGGAGCGGGAAGACAAGAAAGCCGTATTCCCCAGGGAAGAGCCAGAGAAACTGCCTTTCATACGGATCTTGGGTCCGCTGACTTCTCCCCTCCCTCCTCCCCCAGTAAAATAATTAGCCGTAAATAAACCAGTCAGTCATTAAGAGAAGAAGGGCTCTCGTTTGCCACGGAGGTGTGAGCAAGTGCATGCAAAAGTGGGCCGCTCCGGTGGGCAGCTGCGTCGCTTGGTGGGTGCTGGTTTGTTTACCTACGTGGCAGGGAACCTGGACTCGGGTTCATTTCAGTTATCCCATGAGACCTGCTCAATAACGGACTGTTGAAGGAAAAAGCAAAATAAAGAAAAAAAAAAAAACAAAAAAAACAAGAAGCTCATAAATCCCAAATGCATCAGCATTCGCGCAGCCCCAGCCCTCCCCGTCCCGCCAGCGATGCGAGCAGGCAGCGCGCCCGGGCAGAGCCCATGCTTGCTCTCCTCTCCTCCTTCCCCCACCGAGCACCACGCTCAAAGTGCTCTGAGTTGAAGTGGAGAAGGGAAACGCAACATCAGACCTGGCCCAGCAGGTCTGGGCTGCCCCCGCAACGTGCAGAGATGCTCTCTGTATTCACTCGGTGCAGCGCAGACACCCCAAGCTGACGACCTGCCGCTCGCAGGGCTCGGGGTGGTGATCGTTTCCCCAGCACGGCCACCGAGCTAGAAGCCTTTTGCCTGCTCAGCTTCTTGCTCTGCCCAAGGTCCCAACCACCTGGGATGGGAAAGGGCGGGTGGGAGAGACATTTTGGATGGAGGTCCATCCTAAACATCAGCATGAGATACCAGGGGTGAGAGGCAAAGCAGGTTTTTTGCCCATGCTGGTCTTCCTTCCAACTGACCTATGTATAACGATGACTTCTGAGCAGCTTTATTTGCCCTTTTTATCCCTGTGGTCCCCCAGGAACAGCCAGAGTGTAGCATGATGTAACTCTGGCTGTCAGCAGGCCAAGTGGGCGAGTTTGGCACAACAGCACTGGGCTTTGGGACCAACAGCAAGTACAGAATGGCCGGAGAAACACAGGGCTGGCTGCACCATGTTAACACACAGGTAAAGTGTGTGTTAAATACGCTCAGGACCAAGGCATCGTTGTTCCGTATAAAGACCAAAAATCTTGCAGTGATGAACGCTAAAACCTAGAATGACGTGCACATTTCCACCGAAATTTCAACTGAAAACAGGGAGCAAACACTGGGAGAGTCCTCTTGTGAAAGACCAAAGAACAGGGTGAACTTCATCCTTTTTTTTTTTCAGGCGGGGAGCAGCTTCACACCTCGATCTCAGCAGGGTCAGGAGTGTGTGCGCCCTGCCGGGCATCGCGGGCCCTGCCCCCCTGCACAGCCAGGCGTTTCGCAGTCAAAAGCTCACTTTTCTGCCCAGTGCCATCCAGGCTAGGACTAGTCACTGGGAAATTCTCAAGTTTTCTTCCCCTACCTATTTCTTCCCACCTGGGACCCCCACCGGAGAGGAACGCTGGGCATTCCCATCACTCGAGGCAGGAGATCCGAGCTCACCTTTGACCTGATATTCCTTAGTTGCCGGCTAACACTGGATCTGTCTTTCTTCAAGAAATCAGGGTTGCTTTTTGATTTCATAATATCTGGGAAGAAGCAAAAGAAACGGCGTTAGCAGAGTGCTCACTGCCTTCCTGCAAGGCTCTTCTGCCCTCCCAAGCACCCCGATGAGCCCGGCTCAAGCAGCGCTGCCGCAGTGCACGAGGTTTTCCTAATGCAAAGTGCCAGACTGTTTTCAAAACCCATCAGCTTCCCATCCGTGGGCTGGAAGGAGGAACTGCCACGGGAGGGCAGCTCCAGCCAGACTGTCTGGGAGGTGGGAAGCAGCATGAAACAGCGAAAAAGCACCATGCCAAGTCCTACACTCGGACCCGTTACTGCACAAGGACTTGGGTGGCAGGATGCACGTTAGCTTGGGAAACCCACAGTTGCTTAGAGCTGCTGGAGGAGCACTGACCATATCCCGATACAGTGGTGTTCACAGGGGATTTCTCTCCCTGAGCTTCTGTGGCTGCTTTCAGCTGCTCTTTCAACCTGCTGATATCACAGTCTGCCTTGGCCTTCACGATGCTCAGCTCCGTGTAGATGTCTTTGTATTTGTCGCTGGCGTATTTCTTATCCTGGCAAAGGAACCAGAACAACCCAAGGGAGTCAGACAGACAGCTGGAGCCCAGGGGGTTTGCGAGAGCACTGAAGAGGAGCTTGGCAAATGCTGAGGGAAGAAGAGCTGGCAGCGGGGAGAAATGCTCGGCCGGGGCAATGCACGCATTCCACACACACTCCCGAAGCCGCGTGTAACAGCAGGATGGGACTGGAGACAGGCAGAAAGCTGTGAGCCCAGCGGCGAGCGTACAGCGCTGCCCGTGCATGCAGCCCCTTCGTTACAGCATTACTTGTCTGTGGCTTTTCATTTTAGCAAAGACAAGGAATTCAAACAGAATTCCCAGAAACGGCCTTGGCAAAGAGGCCGTCCAGAACAAACCAGATCCGATGCTGGGAGGCTGGGCAGATCTCTAACACTGATTATTTTTGCCGTTTACATCTGCTCTGATGTGACAGGAAATTGGGAAAAAACACTGAAGAGGATGTTTTCCCACACAGTCGCCCTTGTGGGGTTAAGTCCTAAGCTGATATAGTTGTGGAGGGCTTTGCTGATGATACCAAAATGGGTATTCAGCTCCATTCAGGGGAAAAATTAAATATTATTTCAAATCTGAGTGCATGTGAGCTGAAATCTAAGAACACACACGCACAGGAGCAGAGCACAGCCGGTAAGAGGATTTACAGAAACATCCCTGGCATTACCCTCAGTGCTGTCTGAAGCTCGTCTTTGAGGGAGCTGATCTCCTGCTTCAGGTACTGGATTTCTGATTCTTTGACCCGGAGCAGGACCTGTGGGAACAAAAGCAGCGCGTGTTCGCACCCGAGCAGACGCAGCGTGATCCTGAGATGCTCGCCGGGTGACAACCGAGCCAGGGCTGGAGGCTCAGCCCCACGCCAGCTCCACGAAGCTGCTGGTTCGTTCTTCGTCCGGTTCACGCAAGAAAATTACTCCTGGGTCTCTTGGGGACTTGCCCAAGCTCCCTGCGCACCCCTGGGTTTCTGTGCCCACTGTTTTGGGCGGGCTGGATCCCAGGGGACAGGGAGGGGCTGGAGAAGACAGAGCAGGTGTCTGGCTCGACACGGTGTGAAGGGAAGATTTGGACTCTACAAGCTCCCGGCCCCATTGCACCCCACGATGCACAGTGCTGACCAGCCATGCGGACCCGATGCGTGGAGGGACGGATGGCCGTGCCGTGCTCCCGGGGCTCCGCGAGCACTCGTGCCCGCCAACGCTGCCCCTCCGGCGCGGCAGAGCTCACCTCCAGCTCGTAGGCATCCTTGCCCTGCGTGAGAGGCGATCCAGCAGCCTCTCCCCCGCCCTCCCCGGTCAGCAGGGTCCGCAATCGCGTGATCTCCGCAGCCAGGCGGTTATTCAGCTCCTGGGAAGAGGAGGAGAGCCGTCGTGGGAAGAGGGAACGTGGCCACGGCTTGCCGCCGAGCCCACCGTGCTGCCCGTTAGCCCGTCACCCCCCCGCCCTCCCCGGGCACGGCCAGGACCCTCACCTGGTTGTGGGCGTTGAGCTCCTGGTTTTCCCGCTGGCACTGGCGGAGGGCCTGCCTCTCAGCCTCCAGCGCCTGCGCCAGGTGGGCGTTCTCCAAACACTTCTGAGAATACTGCTCCGAAAGCACCTCCAGCTCCCGCTGCACCGACTGCAGCTCCTCCCTGGCGAAACACACGCCGGGTAGTGCCCTTCCCCGCACACCCCCACCCGTGCCCACTCTTCCTCCAGCGCCCCGGGACAACCCAACAGGGATCTAAGCACCGAGGAGGAGGATTTGTATACTCCCTTTGGGAAAAACTTCAAGCCCAGGGCAAGCCAGCCCTGTCCTCTCCTGGCACAGCGGTGCTTGGGCACCAAAGGGGATGGGAGGTCTTTCTCTAGGAGATAAAATGGCAGGATTTCCTCAGGTTTCCAAAAGCTGAGCTGAGATCTATCAAGTTTGCTCTGGGCACTCGGGACTGGGTGTATTTGCACACCTACACATCTTACGTAGATGCATCAAGGTTTATAAAGCTGCTTGGCTGTTTTGCTTGGCTCCCACGTGAGGACAGCCTTGCCATGAAAAAACTAAGTGCTTTCTCTTCCCCTGGTCAGATTTGGTTGAGCAACCCTCCCACTGCAGCTGTGTGTAAAGCAGCACCACGTCTGTGGATCTGCTACTTCTGGTGACCATAAAACCGCTGAATTTGGGAAGTGTGGGGACATTGACCTGGAGCCTGAAAGATTACGGGCAACCAGGAGCCTCCAATGGGCGCAGCTGGGTGGGGACCAAGGGAAGAGGTCCCTGGGACGACAGGTCTGCCCCTAACTCATTGCCAAAATCAAAGGGGAGGGTTTCCCACACGCGCGGTTTCCCTGCGAGACACAGCAACGGATGGAGGATGACGATGGTCTTACAGGTATTGCCTTCGGAGGGCCTCGATGTCGGCGTTGACGCTGCTGATCTGGGAGCGCTGGGACTTCTCCAGCTCTCGCTCCAGCTCCTCCCGGTGTGCGTTCTTCATGGCTTCGATGGCTGTGTGGGACAGCACAGCGTTAGCACCCAGCACCGCTCCGCCCAAGGGCAGGTTTATTTGGAGGTTGTTTTTTTTTTGTTTGTTTGTTTTTGTCTTTTTTTTAAAGGAACAGGAACTGAGCCACCGCGATGAGCCCCACCTCTGCTCTGCAGCCCCTTCGGTCTATGCCCCTGGCTGTGAAGTGGTAAAGGGGCTTCTGCAAAGCCCACTTTTTAAAAAAGCCCAAACAATTGTCCAATTCACATGTTGTTTCCTGAACTGCGGAACTCCTAGCACAGAGACCCTGGGATCCCAGGCTTTAAATCTCCCTGGGGCACTGAAGAATCAATTCAGTGTGGAATCACCAATAAATTAACCACAGGAATGACTAACACCTTCCCGAGATGGAACGGAAAATGGATCAGACCCCGTTACAGCCAAGGATGGGGGTACCAAGCCTGGAGAAGGACCAGGAGATGGATCTCCATCCAAAATGTCTCTCCTACCAGCCATTTGCCATCCCCCCTGTGATCCCCACCCAGCCCTCACCCCATCCCATGCTCTGCTCCTCTATACTGGAGCAAACACCATCCCCGTGTCCGCATCAACACGGAGCTGCCCCACCGCAGGGGACCCTCTGGCATGTCCCCGTACCTGAAATGGTGGCAGCCGTTTCTTCTGCCAGCAGGCGATCTTTCTCCTCCCGCAGCTTCTCCAGCTCCCGCTGGTGCTGCCGCTGCAGGTCCTCGATCTTCTTCTGGTGTGTCTCCTCCATGGCTGCAAAGCCCCTTTCACATGTTGCCTGCAAAAGGGATGAGGGGAAGGGGTTGGCCCGGGAGCATGGGGCCGGCATCGCAGTGGTGGTGAGCCCCTCCAGGAGCCACACACCAACACTAGGTCAGCACCCACGTTCCATCACGGGGATCTTCTCCCTCCTCAACCATGGAGGAGCCGGCCAAGGATGGGCCTTGCAAGGTCAAGGCTTGTCCTGTCAGCCTGACCCCCGACAGCTCCCGTGAAAGAGAAGGACAGGGTAGGTCTGGGGTCAGACCCGACTGGGGAATGCAAATACATGTTAAAAACAACAACAAAAAAAAAGCCTACTGTGCCCCTTCTGCTCTCTTTGGCAATGCCTGATTTTATGCAGCCACCTCTAGGGTGGAAAACAAATAACTCGTGACAGCAACAGGACCTTAATTCCCAACCCAGTATCATCTCAAGTGCTGCACGGGCAATTATTTGCTAACTAAATTACTAGGATTGAACTTAGGCCAGGACAGGGGAGCAGTGCTCTGGGGATTCAGGACTCCCCAGCCCGGAGATCCTGAATCCCAGCCCGGTCCTGTCCCAGGCACAGACCCTGCTCCTGCCTTTGCAGGCAGGCAAATAAAAAAAGCCTGTTCCCAGTTCAGCCACCAGCCCGGCCGCCCCACCAAGCACATCGGGATCCCGGACGGACGCACGGCTGCAGGAGAGAAGCAGGACAGCAAAGCCACAGGCAGGCTCGAGCCACAAGCCAGGAAGGGGCACGCACCGGGGATGCAGCTCACGAGCCCCGTCAGACATTTCAGGGCAACCCTGATGCCAAGCACTGCACCAGGCTTGTCTCCCTCTCAATGTTACAGGCTGGCTTTATTTCCTGATTTCAATGCGTTTCTTCTTGATTCACACTCCTGTTTTCCAGGGGAAGCAAGAACTGCCACCTAGGGAGCTACTGGGACTCCACGGGAAATTTAAGGGGGACAAATTCATTCCTCCAGTGACAAAATTGCTCACGACAGTCTGACACCACTGACCTACACTAACATACACTCTTCAGCATCGCTTCGTTGTCTAATGCTCTGTAACCTGTGCCACTCTCATTTCCAATTTTCCGCTCTGGTGCTTTTTTTCCTCCCAGTTTTAATCCTGAGGCATTCTTCATTTTCTTAGCCTTGTTTTTTTTGAAACTCATAACTCAGTGCCAGAACCTGTCTGGACTTGGCTGACTACAGAGTGACACGAAGCAGCCTTGGAGGATTCTTCATTACACCTCTAATGTTGGAGGAGAACGGTGAATGCTCCTCCATAGGTCTGGCTGTAGACTCAGTATTTAATGTATTGTAAATGCATTGCTATAAATCCAGGACATTTGAACACATACAAACCAGTATCTCATGTTACTGATGTTACATTCTCCATCAGGTTCAGAAGAGAAGAATCGAGCACATTTAAACCCATAAATTGGACAGGTCTGCAATCGCCTGGTTAGCTTTCCAATCAAGGGAAGTTTCCCTTTTGCTGTCTGTCCCTCTGCTTCCTATACAGGTGCACGGGCAGGCTGGTTCGCCCTGCTCTCCTCCCGGACCCCTCTGCCCAGAAGATGCTGCTTGCCTTCCCACCTGGCAAACTGCAAGTTTTGGCAGAGTGAAGTTGAAAACGCAGGCGGGAGGTCGGGTTCATTGCTTGCTGTTATTTTTCAGCCTCTATTTTGGTTCTGGCCTTTTTGCTTCTTCCAAAGCAAGAACCTCCCCCGGTACAAGCGATCCCGTTTGGCACCTGGCTCGCAGGACAAGGCGTTACCCGTGTGTCCCGCTGACCTGCGCAGGGGCTTCAGGAAGGGCTTTTCCTTCCTAAGGGTTAAGACGGAGGAAACAGCATCCAGCAGTTCTCCCTCTTCTGGACACTCAATTCAGCCCCGAGGGGCTGCAGCAGAACTACTGCTCTCCCCAGACTAAAACCAGCTTTTGGCTGGAGCCAAGCCACACTTTACCCCCTGCCCAAATGTGCGTTGAGGATCCCGTGGCTGGAAGCAAGCTTTCCCACGTTTTTGCTGACTCTGAAGGACGACTGCTCCATGAAAACCTCACTGGCACGGCCTCTGAGCGCAGCCTGCATCGCTGCCCTTTCGGCTGCCCATTCAACCTGGAATCCTCCCTTGGTGCTGCCGAGAGTCCTCCACTGCCCTAAACCCACTTCCTAACTGGAAATGCTCTCCAATCAAAAGCAAAGACATGAAACCCAAGAGTTTTTTTTTTTTTTTTTACCGTCTCGGGCTAGTTCTACAGCCAATCTGACTGGTGGAGCAATCTGAACGATGGCATTTCATTGCTAGTGGGTTTTTCTGCACCTAGCCTGGGTTTCCCGTAACTGTGCACTGTTTGTTGCATAAAGAATTGCTGGTGTGCAATACCAGTTCTCCTTGCAGCCTCGTGCAGAGGAGCTTTGCTTTGCCACAGAATTTGACATCCATTTGCAGCTACTTTCCCCAGGAATGTACATTTTGAGAGCACTGAGTTTCCATTTCACCCTACATTTTGAAGGGCAGCAGAGACAGACTGAAGTTTTGATCAGACTGGGAAAGACAGAGTTGAGAAATGCTGTTAAAGGGAAGTCACAAACAAAATGTATGCCTCAGGTGCAAGGAGAAACACTACAGTCTTCATGTTGAAGGAGAGCGTGCCATTACCAAGCTACTTTGAAATTCTCCCTCCCTCTGCACGCAGAGACCGCTTCCAATAATCAACACTCCCACTGAGACCAAGCCCTCAGCAATGCATTTAGAATACTCTTGCAAGGAGAAAAGGGAAACACCATGATTTATAGAGGTCTAACACTTTGGGGCTTCCTTCGGCATGCTGGCTTTTTCGGGGTCACCCCTCGGTTCAGCAAGCAAACCCCAGGACCAAACGCACCCTCCCATACACTCAGCAGCATAAAGCGTAAAGCGTTAAACATATCAAGACCTTTAAGTTTTCAAAGTCTTTCTGGTATTTTTCCCTCAAGGTGGAAGCGTTCCCCTCCAGGTGCTTGTTCTCCAGCTCGTCCCTCATGACGTTCATCTGGGCCTCCAGCTCCTGGATGCGTTCCCTCAGGCCATGCATGGAGTCCAGGTCACTGCCGGGGCCCTGGCCGGTGCCCCCCGCCTCACCGGCCACCCAGGTGTCCCCGCCACCCGTGCCCGCCGCGGGGGACACCTCTGGGTGCTGCCTCTGGTACTCGTCCAGGGTCTCCTGCAGGCGCTGCAGGTTCTGGCTGTAGTGCTCCTGCAGCGCCTGCAGCTCCTCGCCGTGGATGACCTGCAGCTCCTTGATCTTGGCCTGGAACTTGTCCTCCAGCATTTGCATCTGCTCCAGGTGATACCGCTCCATGTTCTGCTTGTCACGGACAATGGCATCCAGTTGGCTGAGGCCCTCCGTCCTCTCAGCCTTCAGAGCATCCTCTGTCCTGTTTAGTTGCTCTATCACGTTTCGAATCTCCTCCTCGTACCGTCCCTGTAACTCACTCAAGCTCTGGCTGTGTTTATGCTCTTCTTCCTCCAAGAGCCTTCGCTGACTGTCAAGCTGGGACACCTTTGCTTTGAGATCAGCGTTCTCCCTTTCAAGCATGGCGATCACCTCGCTGTACTCACCCTGCTGCTTCCTAAGCAAGTCTTCGTACTCGTCCCGAAGGAGAGAGACCGTCTTCACACGCTCTTGGCAGAGCGCGTCCATGCTCTGTAAGGACTCCTTGTAGGACTTTATCTCTCTCTCGTACTCCAGTCGGACTTTGCAAGCGGCATAACAAACCTGAGCCTGAACAATTGCATCATGGACTAACAAAGAGGAATACCGTTCAAGGTCTCCCATGCACGAATGATATGAAAGACTCTGAGATATCTTCAGGAGCTTCTGACAGTCTCTCATTGCCTCCTCAGGAGGCAGAGACAGTAAGGCAACAGATATCTCCTTCAGAACATTTGATTTGTCCTTTAGTTGTTGGGCAAGATCTTCCTGAATGGAGACAAGAGCTTCACTACTATGGTCCGGCAGGCTGCCAACCTCCTCCACCTTGGCTAATTCCTGACACGGCACCATTTGGAGACGGCTCCCATCCCAGGAGATCTGGGTTCTTTCTGAAGCATCTTTCTGAATTTCAAGTGCTTCAGAAATATGGTGCATAACACTGTCAAAATCAGGAGTCCTGTATGCTTTGAGGATCTCCTCCAACATGCATTTATGCTGCTGGAGAGCTGTTTTGGTATTATGGAGGTCTTCTTCGATTGTTTTTAATCTCTGATGAAAAGATTCTCTCATTTTCTGTGCAACAAACCCAAGTTCTGACTTGATCAACGTAGCATCTGCTACAGCACTGAGAAAACATGGAGAAAAGCCCAAGCCTGTTGTTTCTGTTTTGCCCTCGGCTTCTCCTTCTCTGGTACTCAAGTGCACTCTCAGCTCCTCCACCTGGCTCCAGAACTCCCCTTCCAGCAGCAGCTTCTTAGATAGGACGCTGGCCAAGTCAACTGCTGTACGAGAAACATTTGCTGGCTCCAACAAAACCACCTCAGCCGTTCCCTGCATCTCTCTCAGAAGCTGAGATATCTCAGAGCTTGCATTTTTCAAAGACTCCGCTATTTGGTTGATGAGAGAGGCCTCAAATGCCACTCTCTCAGAAAGCCATCTCAGCTGGCTGGCGTCAAACATTTCCACTTGCCGCTCCTTGGAGACATGTTGCTCTTCTCCCAGAAAAACTCCTTCTGGAGCGGGGCTTTCAGCGTTAAGGTTTTCATTCTCCTGATACTCCGATGGGACTGGCGCCCCTCTCAAAGCTTGGATTGCGTCTGATAAGGTTGTTTCCATGCTGGATAGAGTAACAAGGAACAAATCACCCTCTTTTTCCTTGTCTGATTTGGGCAAAGATCTTAGCTGCTCCCTACACTTCTCTAAGCAAGTCAGCGCTTGATCATTTTTCATTTGGAAACCTCCCAGCTCGCTAACATGATTTTCTATGAGCTTGAACTTTTCCTGCCTCTCACTCTCCAGCTGTGAGATCAAAGCACTGACTTGGGATAAGCTGGTCTGAAGTTGTTCCCGCAGCTGAGACTCTGTGCTGGCCCACTGATGGTGGAGAGCAATGAGCGTCTCCTGATTATGGCCATGCTGGCTTTCAAGCTTCATCGTTACATCTTTGAGTTTTTCCTCTGTAATATAAAGTTTGGTTTCCAGGGAATGGATGATTGAGAGATAAGTCTCAGAGTCACTTGTCCCTGACGATGGGTAACCAAGAGCTGGCTCTGATGACATGCTTTCCTCAGACAGTGATCTGTCTTGGCTCGTGTCTGAAGAGGTACTGCTCGTCCAGTTTTTCTCCGATCCGTCTGGGTGGATGTATTTTTGGCACTGGATGCTTGAGAAACGGATTCTTTGCCTCTTGGTCCCCACGATTCCTACATCAGGCTTTGCTAAGGCTTTCTGAACCAACTCTTGGTCCTGGAGCTCTACAGTTTTGGATGGGGAACCAAATTCCTCCGCTTGCCTCTGGCTGGTCTCAAGAACCTCATCCTCCTCCTCCTTCAGTGCACAAGTCAGAGCTGGGAGGACATCCTGAGTTTGCAGAGGCTGCCCCAGTTGGGACGGATGACTTTCGTCAGACTCGAGACTGGGGCCAAGGTCTTCTACCTCCTCAGCACATGGACCTGTGCCTACACTAGCTAATTTCTTTAAGGCCTCCTCTTTGGCCTTTAGCTTTACTTTAGTCTCCTCTAAACTGCTATCTAAAGCAACCACTTTAACCAAAGCCTCACTGAGATCTTGATCTTTCTTCTCCACAATTCTCAAGTGCATTTCCTTAACGTGTCTCAGCTCCTCTTCTTTTTCTTTCAGCACCTTCTGCACACCCTGGAACTGATCCGACACCTCCTCAAACGATCGCTCCAGATTGTGGTAGTTGGTCTCTTCCATTTTCAACTTTGCTTGCAGCTTTGCCACTTCATTATCCGACTCGGCAACCTGATTCATGAGCTCGTGGAACCGACATTTGATCTGATCTCTCTCTCTTTCGAGCTCCTTGATGTGCTCTGCCAGTTTCTGGATGCTGGCCTCCTTCATCACCAGCTGCTCCTCCAGCTGGTGGACAAGCTCGCTGCCTTCAAACTTTGCGCTCAGTTTCTCCTTCTGCAGAATCTCCATTTGCTGCTCGCTATTTTGCAGCTGGTTCTCGTACTCGTTGGCCTTATCCTCCACCTCCTTCAGACTCCGTATTAAAACCTGCTTTTCCCTCTCGCAGCTCTCCAGCAAAGCCTCGTAATTCTTCTGCAGCTTCTCCTCCATGAGGATCTGCGCTTGCTCGCTAGCGTTCAGCTGCCTGCTCAGGTCCAAGATCCTGTCTTGGAGCCGCTGCACCTCCTTCTGATGGTCCCTCTGCAAAGCCTGCTGCATCTCCAGGTCCCGCAGCTCCTGGGTCTTCTCCAGGAGCAGAGCCTCCGCGCTCTTCAGCTTCTGCTCGCTGGCCTTCAGCTGGGAGCTGAGCGTGGCCTCGCCGTGCTGCCACTCCTCCAGCTGCTCTTTGGCTTTCTCTTTCTCACTCCTCAGGTCGCTCTTGAGCTTGGCCAGGGTCTGCTCCTTGATGGAGAGCTCGGCTGCCGCGTTATTGAGCCTCGCCTGCAGGCTCTGAATCTCGGCTTCGTGGTGCCGGATCACGTCCTTGGCCTCGGCGTAGCTGCGCTTCAGCGACTGAATCTGCTGATTGATCAGCTCTTGACGCTGGCATTGGGCTTCCAGCTCGCTTTGGAGGTCTTGGTTGACTTTGTGGAGCCTCTGCCAGGCACCTGATGGCGAGGCGGCCACCTCGGTCTTAAAAAAATTGATTAAATACTAGATTAGTAACACTCTTGGCTCTCCCTTCTGAGTGTCACACCTCTGGCCAGGCAGGCCATGGAAAAGCTCCTTGCAGTGATTTGGCTGCTACCCACATGCTCCAATTGGGATGATTTGTTCTTGGCACAATTTTTTTTGTTTGTTTTAACCAACTCTTTTTTTTTTTTTTTTTTTTTTTTTGAATGAGCGACAACTGCTTTCCAGTAACAGAAAACATGGACCACAACATCAAAACAGCTGTACAGTAACAGGCTAAAAGGAAAAAAAAAAAAAAAAACCAAACAAAATCAAATAGAACCAAAAAACAATGAAAAAGAAACACCAGCAGTAAAACAGAGACGGACAGACGAGAGAAAAACGGGAAGGGTGAGAAGGAGGAGGGGATGGGAACAGGTCGAGAAGAAAAGAACTGCTTTTTTAGTGTGTTTGTTCATTTCACATTGTGAAACAAAAAGTGCACAGTTCAGGTAACACAGTCCTACCGACCAAAAGCAACAACAGAAAGTGAGGTGACAGCAAATGACATCACATCCCACCCAAACGCAGGGAGACAGGACAGCCGGCGTGGTGATGTCATTTCTGTGACTGCCAAACAGGACTTAGTGGCTGCTCATCACATTAAAGAGATGTTGTTATGCTAAAGTTTAGGACTAGGGAGGATTTAATTTCTCTACCTGCAAAAAAAAAAATAACAAAGGACAAAATAAAAAGCCCGACAAGTGAAGGGAGGGAAAAGGTGTAATGAGAATGTAAAATAAAAGAAACCGACCTTTGTGAGATTCAAACCAAAGCAATGTAGCATGCAAAGAGAAAATTCACAGAGAGTCATGCAGAAGGCGACAGAAATTATGTATCTTTAAAAAAAATACACAGATAGGAAGAGGCGAGGGAAGCACAGCTTTAAGCCTAGGAATTTGGCCTGCCTTGCTGTACTCTGGTTGCTGATAAGGAAAGCCCACAGATGTGACACTCAGTTATGTTAAGTTAAATTTCATGCTTTACACCAAAAACATGCAAGAACATCCACCTGGGACAGGTTAGTACGTGATCCCTCCCGCCCGCCGTGACCGGAGCTGGGGCACGTCTCCGGTCCATTTGCAAGGAGCAGGAGGCTCCGCTGTTTTTCCCAGTAGGGTTCAAAGTTGGGGTGCCCCGTCCCGAGGAAGCTCAGAGCAAGAGAGGGGTTACATGAAGCCGGAGAGGCTTCGGTGCACGGCACATGCATCGGGGTGAGTATCTCAGCAGCTGCCTTAGGAAATGTGCAGCGTCTTTTATGTCGGGGCAGTGCATGGGGGTCCATATGGGGCTGGTCGTGCTGCCAAGGAGGGGTTGGTGCCCCCCGCCCTGGGCAGCTCAGGAGGGATGAACTGGCAGCAGTCAGGCTCCTCCACTGTCCCTCCCCACAGGCAATGTAGGAACCTCTCCAAAATTAGGCATGATGGAGATGGGGGTGGGGGGCACAAGAAATTCAGAGGGTTCATCCAAAAAAATGCTGTGATGTTTGCCCACAGTCTGGGGTTGCAGAAACCACCCCACTGATTCCACATCCTCCACACCAGCAGGGCTTGGTGGGGTTACTCCCTTCTGCAACAGGACTTTAATCCTTCTGCTCCCAGGGAAACATAAGGGAAATCCCCAGAACAATCAGACTGGAGAAAGCAAAAGCCTCCAACCCCTTCCAAAAACCCTCTCCCAACTTCCAGGTCAAAGTTTGGGTCACTTCTCATTGCAGCGTTGATTTGCTCAGCTCTTCTGCAGACTTCCCCTGTTGCCCCCACTCCTCGTATCGAGGCGCTACAGCCAACTTCAACACGGCCAATCTGACAGTGGATTCAGCATCCAGCTTTTAGCCCCATTCCCTGATTTTTTCCAGGCTCCAGGCAAAGGGAGGTCAAATGCCTTTGCCCTAGGGACGTGGGAGTTAGTTACTCTTCCAACGCTGCCAAGTGAAAATGAAACTCCTCCAAGCGAGCACTGTCAGCTCGGGGACTCCAGAAATAAATGCATTAGTAACTCCTCCAAGGAGATCACTGGCAAGGAAGGCAAGATGCTCCCCTACCTGGGCTGGCTCCACTGCCTGTGCAACTTCTTCAGGGGAAATTTGCCCCGTGACAAATAAGGACACAAGGTTCAGCATCAACACTGCGTTTGCTGCCATGGGAGGACAGTGTGCGGCCAGGCACAGCCACTTTGATCCAGAAACAGTTTGGCCAAGTAGATTTGAGCAGGTCAAAATTCTGCCCCTGCACAAGAGAGGACCACGGACCCTGAGAGCAGTCAGAAGCTGCCCTGCAGGCATCACAGCTCCTCCAGGCACGGACACTCCCAGAGGAAGGGCTGGAAAAAGTCTGCTTTGTTTGTAGGAGCGGAGGAAAGGCTTCCTAAGAGACTGTCCTGTCTCTTCTGCCAGAACCTCCAAAACACACTCCTAGGCTTTGCTGAGGAAAAGCATCTTGTAACAGAAGAAACCACCAAAACGATCCAAGACAACAGGTCGTTCTGGTGCAAATCCCGCTCTGGCTGCGGGGAACGGGCCCAGGAGATACGCCTGCGTGTGCTGTGTTTGCCCACGTAACCACCACACAAACTCCCCAGCCAGGAGCAACTGCTGGGCTACAAGATCCTTAGAAAGCCTATGTGCACCCCACTGCCTGTGGGGAATGTCTGGGGCGCAGAAAGGGGGAGACAGCTGTTGCACAGGCAAACACAGTATAGGATAGATCAGAGGTGGGCTTTGGTGAGGTCCCATCTGTCTACCGTGGCTGTGTTTTGTTTTCCCTTGGGGACACTAGCAGGTAATGCTATCTTCTCTCTACTGCATCCCAGATCAGAGGTTTTGTTAAGCAGATGATCCCGGTGAGGCTACAGAATTAGTAATATTTGAGAGAAGGTCAAATCTCTTGAAGTCCACTCAGTGGTGCACATCTCTGCGTCAGCCAGGATGCCCCCATGAACACCCTGGACTGAAGCCCACCACGGACCCCCTCGGGCACAGAGAAAGACAGATTCCTCTTTCCTCCCTGCTCTCCTACCTGCAACACGTAGCCCTCCCGGGCACTCTGCTCCCGGCCCAGTGCCACTTTCAGCTGGTCCTGCAGGTGCCGGTTCTGCTCCAGGAGCTCCAAGGCCTCCTTCTGCTTCTGCTCCAGCTGGAGGGACACGAACAGAGACAGCGTCCAGAGGGTGGGCAGGGGGGTCAACCATAAGGAGCAAGTGGCTCGGAGGCAGAGCAGAATGAACTGGGCTTCTGATGGCACCGCTGCTTTGCTCTGCTCTGGGATCTGGATTTCATTTTGCCAGGCAAAATCCCTCCCCCCTGAAAGAACTATGTTGCGCATTAGTTCAATTCGTAAAGCTCACAGCAGCAAAGGATAAACGGCACCAGCTCGTGCCAGGCATGACCCCGGCAAATCCCAGCCCAGTTCAGATCAGTGATACTCCTGGTTACTCCACGCCTGCACCCCTTTCATTCCTGCTAATACACCTTAATCCCAACTAACAACAACCTTTGTTATCCCAGGCATGGACCTCTTCCAAGTGAGCTGAGTCTCCTCTTTTCTTTTCCTAAAATCGTAAGATTGTTTGATGTAGGCTCCGCAAAAAAGGAACCTTTGTGGTGTGTGCTACAACTCAAGCCAGTTTATAGTTTTGGAGACATAACTGCTGACACAAATCTCTACAGCTGCAGAGGCACACACAGTTATGAGCCTGAATTTAGAGCCTGGTTGATACACACCAGTTGTACCCACCTCGTCAGAGGCAGGCTGGCTAACAACCAACAGAAGTGTACCTTGAATTAAATGGGAGGGGGGTAACGAAATACCACTCTTGCAAAAACAGCCTTTTCTGCTACTGTGGGAACATGAAAGCTGCCGGCAGAGCTGTACGGGAGCAGACACAGATCTGTGCCCTGCCAGCTCCCTTGGGGACCCTACAGCATCCCCACTCATTCCTATTACAAAGTAGGAATAAATGCAGCTTTTTTAAGCCTTGCTTGGGCTTCCTACAGTTCTTGCAGCGGCCTTGAAGACCGTTTCCTCACACAGCCTGCACCCCACGCACCCCGCTTTACCTCCTTCTCCAGCAGCGTGGTCAAGTGCTGCTTCGTCAGCCCCTCGTCCCGGTCCTCGGCGTGGGCGAGGTGCAGGGGCGCGATGGGGATCTGCTTCTCCTCCCGCAGCGGGGTGGTCTCCACCTGGTGCCAGCGCTGCTCAATCTCCACGTGGACGTTCTGCGGTTTGATGTCCGTCGGGACGGGCAGGATCCGGTCCACCTCCATCCTTAGTGCCTCTTCCGACCCTGCCCCGTCCACGGCATCGATCATCTCGAAGCGCTTGCGCCGTTCCTCCCGCCGCCGGGCCCGTTCCCGCTCCAGCTCGCCCGGGTCGGCATCGGTGGCACCGGCGTCCCTGGAGAAGGCGGCAGAGCCGCTCTTGGAGGAGTCTGCAGCGTTTGCACGCTCCTGTGCCAGGGCTTGCTGGATGGGACGAAATTCAGCCCAGTCAAAGGTCTTGGAACGTCCTTCTCGCCGGCGCTCCCGGGCACGGCTCCGCTTCTGCTCCGGGTCCAGCTCAGCTTGCTCCGCATCTGGCTTCTCGCTCGGCTTCGGACCAGTCTCGAAGGAAGAGCTTGTTTTGCTTTTCTCTTCCGGCAGAGAGCTGCGAGGACAGAGAGAGGGTGAAGGAAAGTGTCAGTGGGTGCTCAAGACGGCCAGGCGCTCCCACGCATGCCTCAAAGAGCCGGGTGGAAAGGGGGGCTGCTGGAAGCCCAAGCCACTGCCACGTGGGTGCCCTCCCCCTGCCCTTCCATCTCCTGTCACCTCTGGGGCGCAGGAGCCGCCACCGCCCTTCCCCGGGGTCACGCTGGTGCGCAAAGCCTCGGTGCAAGCGGCCCCGGCTGCTCCCGGGCACCCCCTGGACCCCGGAGAGCAGCTGATCCCGACCTTGGCAGCCACCCCAGGGCCGGCGACCGCGACCCAGCAGCAGCCCGTGGCCGAGGCAGCGACCCCGAACCGTCCTGCCAGGCGGGGAAGAGGCTTCAAAAGCTCCTCGGGGGCCCACCGGCTGGCTCGCCTCCCCGGCTGCGGGGCTCCATGCACACAGTCACGCGCTTGCGGGGAGGGTGCCACCAGTCCCACCACAGTCAGTCTGGCTTCAGACCTGCGGGGCGGAGAAGCACAGAGCAGCTCCCCGAGGCCCTGGGTAACAGGGGGAAAGGTTTTTCTCGAGCTTGGCAAAGTCGGGGTATTAACGGATTGAAAACTTCTCCGTGCCACTATCTGCACTGATCTCCCCCGCGCAGCCACCCTGCTGCATGCCACATGGACGGTTGTCGGTGCAGCAAGGAGAGGAAGAGTTATTCAACACACCGCGGAAGTCGCTGAAAAAGCCGATTTCTCAAGCAAGGAATAATTTTTAGTGCTGAGTTAGAGGGTGGTGGGTTGAGAGGAGAGACATACTTGTCAAGCAGGGAATGTTAATAAGGGAAGGCAATAACATTTCCAACCTACTGATAATCCATAATGCAGTATTAGCTTATTAAATGTAGACATGCCAGCCTTGTAACATGCAGATCAAAATTAAAAAAGAGAAAACAGCAGTATGCTAAGTTTGCAGAGGAAGCCCATCCTGAGGGAGTGGCAGGCATTTGCTGAACCCTCTTTGCTATCAGAAGCCCCCCCGAGATGCCTCCCGAAGGCACAGCCCTGCTGCTCAGCCTGACTCCAGGCTCTCCCTGCTTCCAGTACAACCACAGCATTCCCCGGAGCTCCAGCCTCCAGCACAGCCTCCACAAGCTTTCCAGAAGGGCGCAGCTGGAAAGCAGCTCCCCGGGGCCCTTTGCTGCAGGTGAATCACCGCTAACGGGGCTCTGAGCCCCGGGACCGCATGCACCGAGCCTGCCGTGGCCGGGAGGGAGCAGCAGCAGCGTGGCTTCTCCTCCCGCCTCGATAACACACCCCAGCTCCCGCAGCCAACAACCTGATGTATGTGCATACGCCCAAAACAAAGAATGGAGCAGAAGAGAGGACTCTGCATGGGTCTGGGGCTAGTATCTTCCGATGCACTTTCAGCCACGATCGAACCGCAGGCTCAGTAGAGCTGGGTTTCAAGAAGCTCTGGCAGTTACACGCTAAAACCAGCTCAGAGGTAATTCTTTCTTCAGCTCTGTCATTTGCAACTAATAAAATAAACCCAAAAGGCAGCACAATGAAACCTCCGCGCTCCTCAGCCATTAGAAGTTATTGCATGACTCCAAAGCCAGGCACTCAATCTGGAGTCAGTTAGTGATTACAGCTGCATTTTAAGTAAGTAAAGCAGGGATGAGATGGAGTCTTAAAATGGAGAAGAGAGCTAGGAAAAAAAGAGGGTACTGGGGCCCCCTGAATGTTGTTGAGAGACAGAAATCAGGCTGCTCCAAATACCACGTGGAAGAATCTCGGCATATCTAGAGGTGACATCTCTCGCGAGCTCATTTCTCCTCTGCTGCTTTCCAAAGGGTATGGGATGTGTGTCAGGGAGCGGAGGGACGGCCGCTGGGAACTGAGGTAACAGATTCAGAAGACTGACCTGAAGTTTCTCATTTCATCTCCTGCAAGTGCCCCATGGCTATTAATTCCGCTCAAGCACTTCACATCTCCTCCATCCCAGACAAATTAATTCACATCACATGGGAGCGGGGGGGTGTCTTTGCCTTACAACGGTATTTACAGGTCAAAACAAAAAGCTGGGGTTTTTTAATACGGGTGGCTGTGGGAGAGGTGCAAGCTCTGGGCTGAGCATGCTGCCTCGGTGTGCAAGGAGCACGTGAAGGCTGCAGTGAACTGGGGGGACACGGGGGAGCTCAGCCTCAGCGGGGCTGGGAGCTGAACAAGGACCCGGTACCGAAGCAGCCACCTTCTTTCTTGTGGGTATTTTATATCTGCACAGTCATCATTAGCAGAGTGTAATTAGTGTCTCTGCAGACTGCAGGGGCACTGCTGAGGGCAGGGAGCAGCCCAGCCTCTGCCCCCCTCCCGCCGGGTGCTGACACACGCAGCGATATAAACAGTAATTAGGACTTGAGTAATTGTGAAAACATGTGTTTGGCTCGGTGGAGACATGGCAGCAGGTTAATAAGAGACATGGCAGAAGGCTGCAGGAGTGTGCGGAGTCGGACCGGTCCTGGGGATGGGGCAAACACTGCCACCCCCCTGGCACAGCCCGGCATCCAGACTAACATCCCTCTTGCAGCCCTCCCCGTGCTGTGCAGACGTTTGCCACTTCTCCATCATGAGCTTTTGGCAGTTTGTCCTTTGGCTTTCCAGCAACCCCCTTCCACAAGGTGCTCCCTGGGTGCGGACGTTAATGCTGTGCCCAAAGCCAGGCAGGACGGGCTGGGACACCCCACGCCGCGGCCAAGGGCTTGTGAGCAGGCAGGGGGTGAACACAGCCCTGCTTCACACACGGCGCAGCTTCAGCTCACAGCAACAACTTCTCAGCAACGTGACCAATCCATGCCAGACTCTACCCCATCCGAAACCAGCTCGGTGGAAAACGACAGAAGTGCACCTGTAATTCCCTTTTCCCCAGCTCAGAGTTGAGATCTGCAGTCTTTATGCAGCATAACAAGTTACTGCTCAACTGGTACCTGCACTTGGACTGTCTCACAAGGATAAGCCAAGTCAAACCACTTTGCGTGGGCCTGGAGCAGACGCAAAGACAGTGAGCACAGGACTACTGTGCTGTAGTAACCTCTTTGGCTACAAATATATCTGGCTCTTTAAAGGCAGAGAGGTCCCCCTCACATGTCCTTGGTCTTCATCTTCGTATCTAGTCACATCGGAAGATACCAGTGTGGGGAAATCAAGTGTCAAGACCAGGTTGCTTCTTCCCTTCTCTCTGGCTTTTATTTAAAGAAAAAAAAAAAAAAAAAGAAAAGGGGTGGGGGGGGAAGAAAAGAAAGAAAAATAAATGGAAACTGCAGGACTGCCCATCCGAGGTGCAGAAAAGGAGGAGCATGCAGTGAATCACGAGATATACAAACCACAAAACGTTAATACAGGAGAGAACACAGTTTTCCAACCTGGGCTTCAGCACGGATAGTTTCAAAGAGAAGTTTTTCCTGGGATTGCATGGAAATCAAACATACACAGGAGTGAGGAGAGAGGCGGCTTCCCCGAGACCCCCGCGAGATCCACCAGAGCTCGGGCAGGGCTGGGAAATGGTGGCCAAGTGCCAAGCGGGATGGGGAAGGAGAGTCTGGAACATCTCCAGGTCAACAGCACCGGGTGAGAAGAGCCATTCCATCAATGTGGGGACAAACCTGGCAAAAACCTGCTTGTTGCAGCTACGGTAAGGACAGGAGATGGAGTTAATGGTGCAGCCGTGTCCACGAAGCCTGTAAGAGGTGGCTTGTACGAGTGTGGCTGGCACGGTTAGCTGTGAGGAGGTCAAACACCCTTTACCCGCGGCCACAAGCGCTCACAGAAGGTACTCTGTGAAGCAGGGGGGGTCCCTTCCTCTGGCACTGACGGCAGGAAGAGACGCGAGCGTTACTAACGCGTAGGGGGAATGGGCTGCGGCAGCTATCTGGAAGATCAAAAGAGGAGGGAAGACGATTTGCTGGCTGGAGTTTAAAATATATCAGAGCCAAACAGCTTCTAAATTGAACCCTGGGCTCGTGCTGCCGTGACCCGCGGAGGGGATGGGCAGCTCGTGCTGAACAGTAGCCAGAGGAAAGGGGGAACCCAGCACAACTGAATCCAAGTGGTTTCACAATACCTGGTGGGAATCCAGAGGAGCCTTGATATAGGAACAGTATTTCATATTCCTATGCACAAATTAAAGCCACATTTTCAACCCTCTTTGAAATCTGCACATGTAAGAGTAACTCAGCATATCAGCGTCCCCACAAAGCATATCCAAATTTAGCCCAGAGAGAGGGATGTGGGAAAGAGCTGCAGCTTCCAGGAACGGACAGGCTCAGAAAGGGGAAAGCAAGGGGACAGAGGAAGAGTTACTCCTGCACAGCAAACCAGACAACTTCAGGGGCTGCTAAACTCCCCCTTTTACCTTGTTACATCGGGAGCAGTGGTGGGACGAACGTGCTTCATGATGGTCTGGATCCAGTTGCGGCGAATGCCTGATGTCATGGCAGAGAGGGTGAACTCCCCTTCCTTTGTCTAGGGAGAGAGGAAGGACCAGCTCAGAGCAGCTGATTGCACCCACCAGGACCTTCCCACTCCCAATCCCACCCTGTACCCAGCCACGAGCACCCAGAGCTGGGGCACTGCTTGCCAGCTGCATGGAGCTGTTTTGCCATAGCTGAGACTCTAAGGCTGAGACAAAACCTTGCCTTTCCCCCTCCATTTTTTTGTGAGCCAAAAAACTGGCTCTCACACTCAAGGCCACATCTCTCTGGAGCACTGGGGGGGGATGCTGGGTGGACTCTCTTAGGTGTTTAGGGAGATGTTTCCCTTGCCGTGGACAAACATCCCCAAACAGCGGCACAGCATGAGCAGCCCCCCTGGCCGTCCTGCAGCCGGACTCTTCCTCCTCCCTACGTTTTGCTTACGTGGATCTGGAAGCCGTAGTTTCGCTGAACTGGGTACTCAGTAACATCATAACACGTGGATAAATCGATTTCTCCATCCAGGTCAGCTGCCTGAAGAGGGAAGAGATAAAATAAGCCATAATTTTTTGCAACCTCCAAAGCGCAGTGGGCTTGCAGGGAGGCATGCATCAGGTCCTGGAGAAGCACAAAGCCCTGAAGTGCGATGCTCCAGGACCTTGGGACCCGGGAAAACAACCCACCTGGGGTCAGTTTGGGAGCACCTAGGGCTCCCGGAGAGAGATGGGTTGAATGCTGATGGGGAAGACACCTTACCTCCTCTGCCACTGAATCCCGGTAGTATCTCAGGCTCTGGTCAGTCAGCACAAACCAGTGCTTCTTCCACTAGGAAACAACGAGGATGGGGCAATTACAATCCTGCTCCTTCCCCACCAGCAGAGACCAGGCAGCTCATCACGGGTCACTGGCAGAGGCATCCAGCAGAGAGGCCACTCGCAGCCTCTCCTCTCCCAGCTCTGCACCCGGCTTCACCGAGAGGCTCTCCTGGGGGGAAGGGGAGCCCCAAACAGGCAGCAATGCAAGGGACACCGTGATGGTTTGCACCACCAGGACCCTGATTTGCCCAGTGCTGCCGCACCACATTCATGTATCATCCGCGTTTCACCTGCAGCACCCAGAAATTGAGTTGGAGCCTACTCGTGGCCCTTGCTCTATAAAAATACACCTTCTGCACACTCCCAGTGAGGCACAGGCTTATCCCAGACAGGTTTCAGTTAATAAAGCACTTGCTCCAGCAGCCGAGTCCCCCTCTGGCTGCCTACAGACGTGCTCTCAGCCCCAGGGCCCAACACACCAGCACGTACCCGCAGTGGAGCCTGGGCCATAGTGCTCACAGCCACGGGCGAGTCTCTCTCATTTTCTCTTGACAGGCTGAATGGGAGGGAAGGAAATCCAGGGAAGGGGCAATTTGCGAATAGCCAGGGCATCAGTGCCCACCTCTAAGGCTCTGACAGAGCAGCACATCCCACATCTCTCCAGGAATAGCAAGGAGGGAAGTGGCAGCAGCTGCTTCTCTCAGTGCCAACTCAGAGGCATTTATTTATTTCTTGGCCTTGCCATTTCCCCGGTGATCAGGAGACCTTATCTGAGCCTCATTACTGATGCCAAAGAGGTTGCTGGGTCGCAAGGGAGATGAGACTAATAAGAGAATGGGAACACGAAACCAGTGCTGCTATCCAAGCTGCCCTGGCTCCCTAGAAACCCGTGACACGATACCCAGCTGTGGGGCTTTGAAACTCCCCCAGGACAGAGCACCAGTTATTCTCGCTCCAAGACCAACACCGTTTGCAGCGGGCTGGCACACAGCCACTGCTGCCTGGCTCCAGAGTTGTACAAATCCCCCGTCGCTGCTCTGCCCAAGCACCTACATCTGGTTTCTCCCATCTGGAGCACGGCCCAATATTGATCTACCCTGCAAGGACATCGGGGCTTCGTCAGCGCCGAGAGCAGCCCCCATGCGCAGCCCGCAGAGCCAGAGTGGGTGTCAGCTGCCAGAAAGCGAGACCGACCGCGGCACCAAAGACTGACACGAAGGGTAGAGCTTCCCCTGGACTCACCTGCCCATCCTCGTACTGCTTTGTCAACCATCCCTTCTTGAAGTTCAGCAGGTCGGGCTGCAAGAAAGGAGAGAGGCAATCAGAGGGGAGGGAAGAAGTGTGTCTGTGACCAAAAGACAACAGCAGCGGCCTGATAAAACATAGCGCAGCAATAAAAGAGACCAGCAACAGTTAAATTCATAGAATCATAGGATAGTTTGGGTTGGAAGGGACCTTTAAAGGTCATCTAGTCCAAAGTGGATCGTTATACTGCGTGGTGGCTAAACATTCGCTCCCAGGAGGAACAGAGACCTGTTGTATGCTTTATTCAGGCTATCCCCTTCCTAGCCCTTCTCTTGCAATCTCCTACTGCTACATCAGCATTACAGAGGAAGAAGCAATGAAATAGCCAGACTGCAGGAAGTTTTGTCCCTCTATTATATATTACTAAGGACAAACTATGTGCTATTGATGCAAGACTGCAAGGTTCAAAACAAGACTGAGTTCCCAAGGCTGGAAATACAGGGAACCCCAGCACTGCACCACCCAAACGACACCTGCTCTTTCCTTCAAAGTGGGTGCATCACGATGTTGAAGCTCTGAGAAAAGCAACCAAGACAGCGTGGGATAACTCCCGCCAGCCCTTCCTCCCAGCCCTGCCCGTGCACTGGGAAGGATGTGGTGGAAATGCTTTTGCTCCCTCGAGGCTGAGCTCTTCCAGCTGCTCCCTGGGCCGCAGGGAGGAGGAGGCAAGGACAGCAGTGTGTGAAATGCAGTTGTATCATCTGAAACAGGCTATATAGCAAGGGAAGCGATGGAAAATGGGCGTCTGGAAGTCTATTCAATCTAACCGATGCTGTGGGGCGGCACAGCTCACATCTGAGTGCTCCCATGGTGGTGGGAACCCAGTCCCACTCCACAAAAAACACAGGGGTAAGTAAATGCCACCTTGCCCTTCCCAAATCCCTGTAGAATCGGAGGAGGGAGCAGACAGACGCCAGCCTGAGCAGCTCTGGCTGTGATGTGGCTGCAGGCAACAAACCCGCTGAGCCCCATCAGGACCTGCTGACGAGGCAGCCACGAACAAACTATAGAGAAAATTGCATTTGCAATGACTACATTCATCGCTGAAGTAGGGTATGAGAGCTGGGCATCCTAGTATCAGCCCTAATTTATCCTGAGAGAGCAATGCCACCACCTGCCTGCTTCTCCTCTGTCAAAGTGCAGGTGGGATCGTGCTTCCAGGTTCTGAGTCCTGTTTAAGCCCTTTTTTGTACAACAAGAGAGCGTCAAGCAAAGGATCTACATTTTGGATCAAAAATATTCAGCTCCCAACCAGGCACTTTGCAGAGAAGGAAAACAGAAGGACTGCAAGTGTTCCAGCAGCTCACGGGAGTGTTATTTATCATCTGTGAAGAAGCACAAGGCAAGAATCTTCTGCAAAAGCAGGTAAATTCCTCCTTGGCAGCATTCATACTACTTTACTACACTTCTTAGTTTCTTTAAAATTTAAGCAAAGGTGTAGAAGCAGCCAGAGAGGAAAGATGCTGCTAAATAGTATATGCATATGTTTCAGACCGGGCTGCAGCGAGACATTACAGGTGTAGAAGCACCCAGAGCAGGAAGGTTTCTCCTGCAGGTCCTGCTCCTCCACAGAAACCCCTTTGCCTTCCTCTGACTGCTCGGGCAGGCAGGAGAGCGCAGGCTTTGCCCGAAGCTGCAAAGCTGCTGAAGCACGAAAAGCCTGGGACCAGCTGCCACTGAAGGGTGTAGACATTAGAAACCAAAACCAGATGAAGCACTTGATGGAAGAGGTACCCACGCAGCACAAGCCACAGCTCTGCTGTAACCCTCTGAGCCCAACCAGGGATGAACTCTCCCTCAGCTTTTATCCCGATGGATAACCGATCTGATCTGACACAGCGAACCTGACGGGCAGGGGAGAGTCTTGCAATCACGGCTGAAAGCTAGCAGAAGTGCAAGTTTTTCTTACGTTGTTACTTTTATAGCAGGAGTGGCACAATAAAGGCGTATTTAATGATAGGAAAAGGTTTTCTTCCCACTGGCTGGATGATTTTTTTGCCTTCACTAGATGATGTGCATCACCACTTAATGTGCACTTCCTGCGCCTTTTTATTATAACCAAGAATTTAAAAATCACTCTTGTGGCTGTATAAGTCTACATGAAAAGCCACTACAGAAATGCTAAGCTACTGCATTTTTCTGAGATGCCCTTCATTAGAAGCCGTCCATCCACAAAAAATGCAGCTCATATTTACAATGGCTGTGTAATCATCTTGCGAGATTAGCAAGTGTATTTATTTTGTCCCTACAGGAGGGTGGTGAGTGAGAGGAGAGCATTTTGTGTTTGTTCTTTACTGTTTGCCTCCAGGTCTGGTGAGCATTTGAAATATGCAAAGGGAGGAAAGCTCAAGAGGGCAGGTTCAGCCCTTCCTCGCAGCCTTCGTCCCGCTCACACCCACTTGCAACTGCATAAACATCAAGGAAGCAGCATTAGAAAACTAGGCCATGTGTTAACTTTCCTTGACATGCCAAGCGTGAAGTGTGAAGCCGAGTCACTGAAACCTGCTCCGAATCCGAGCGTATCCCATGTCCTAAGTGCTGGCTACTGGGAGAGCAGCAGACAGTCCAGTTTTCACTGGACCTGCCCAGGAAGGGTCTCTCATGTCCTCCCCCAAGGCCGAGGACACGGCCCCGCTGGCTCACCGTCATAGAGGACTCCGTGGACCTCCTGTCCAGCGACTTTGCCCGGCGATGCGGGGACAGAGGAGACGCAGACACATCCAGGATGGAGCCCACAGCTGCACCTTCACAAGTGAAGTCCTGTGTAAACAGCATTAGCCCAGATCAGTGCACGAAGTAGGACAGACAGTCCCACTCTCTTGGCTCATGGCATAAAAATCCGTGTATTTAAGGGGCATTTCAGGCTCAGAACAAGTGTCATTTCATTGGCAATACATTTTTTTTGTCCTCTCAGACATTAATTTGCTCCCAATATATCTAAGCGTATCTGGGACTCTCAAGACTGCCTCTTTCTTCTGTTACTTCACCCCATCCTGATGTGTCCTGCCATGCCAGATCTGAAGTTTCCCACTTTCTATTTTGGAGGAAGGAAAAAAGACAGCCTGATTTTCCACTCTGATACGCAGCTGGGCCAAGGGAGCAGAGCAGCAAGTAGCAAACCTGCACAGACTGAGCACGCACAGTGGTTCGGCTCCTGCAGGAGCCTGTCTGCAACTCCAGATCCCCTGCTCCACCCAGGGACAAACCCTACAGCTAAACCCTATAGCTGAGCCCTCTAGCCTGGGCTGCCGGATTCCTGGGGCCACCCTCCAAACCCCACCACGAGACCTTGGGTGAGCAGCTTACCCGTTTCCGCGGGAAAACCCTCTTCTCACTCCTGCCCTGCCGCGTCTCACTGGAAAGGGCAGCACTGGCCGACACATTCGTTTCCATGTGTTCCGCGTTCTCAATATCTAACGCCTCGAATTTTTCAATTACCTGGGATCGCCTGCAAAACAGAGAGAAAGGGGAAACCAGAGCCGGTTTAAACACAAGAACAGTAACTGCGCTGAGCTGTACAATCCCGCAAATTTAAGGCTGCAGAATTGCTCGACCCAGTGTTCATGCACACCTGGCTTTTGGTCACCATTTTTCTGCAAGCTCTAGCGTGCACAAATCCAGGGCAAAACGCCCTGATCTGATGTGCACCATTCTACCCACGGCCAAAGTGGGGAAAAACCTCACGCTACTCAGCTCCACAAATAGTAACTTCTTAAACACTTAGAAAACCCTCGCAAAACCAGCAGTAACTTTTTTACTTGTAAATTTTACAGTCCTTTAGGAAGCAGGGATTATTGAGCAGCTTTGGCTTAAGCTTTGTCTTTACTCTCCAGCTATCGACGGTCCCCCAGGGCACAGAGCAGAGACGCATCACCCCGAGCTGGGGTGCAGGAGGTGGCTATGGGTCACCCTGCGTGTTCACTGCAATAGATACCCTGTAAAAACTCAGCCCCACATGGGTAACGTCCACAGGATTGCACTGAGTGAGGAGTGTCTGTAGGTGCCTCCAGACTACAGGTCTGGCTCTCCGGGTGCGCCAGTTGAAGAGGCATGAGGTGATGAGGAGCACCCTGTGCAGGCACGGCAGGGCATCCCCGGCAAAACCCTGGGGCTTTCCCCTCCTCTCAAACTGGTCTGCAAATCCGGTATGGACAGCAAGGAGCACAACTTGAGCTCTCAGACACTGCCTTGGTGGCCCATCACACCATGGCACATGTGTCTGAGGATGGAGGAGAACTGTGAAGAAATGTGGATGGAACAGGAGCTAGCCCTGGACCAAACCCAAATGGGATGCTTCTAAGGATGAGCGAAAAACAGGCCTTTGCAGGTGGAATTTAAAGGGCTGTTTCAGCATGAAAAGCTGCTCGCTGACCCACAGGGGAGGAAATACCGGAATTTTCAAAGGACCTGCTGGTGTCAAAATTTGCATGCCCAGGGGTCTGAGCAAGTAACAACCTCAGGTCTTTAATCACGACCTGGGAATGTGAAGCAATAACCTACCACCAACACACATGCCAGCTGAGCTCCAAGCTGTGAGGTTTAAAGCTCAATTTTGAACCTCCCCAACATGCTCAATCCAGGTGTGTTCTTGACACAAAATTTGGACCCACTCCTGCCGCACCTAAACTCGGGGCTGCTTGCTCTGTGCAAACCTCTAAAATGTGCATGAAAATCACAGTGGCAACCACATGAGGGGAAACAGGTTATCCAAATAAAAACATTTTTAACACTTCTCATAAAAAGGAACAGTAGGTTAAGGACTCAAAAAACATGAGATGTTCAGTTTTCAACCAACATTTGCACCAAATCCCATAAATGAGATGAACAGTCTGAGCACATCACATTCCTCGGCAGGCCCGGGACCCCCACTGCTGCTCAGAGCCAGGCTGCCAGGACCGGGCGCTGAAGCCCACAACCAAAGAGGAAGGGACAAAGTCGGTGGGGAAGACTTTGCTTTATAAATTCCAACACCTCCGACGTTTTTACAGGACATCTGCTCAGCTTCTGCTGCCTCCCAGTTTGCAGACTGGGAGCAGGCAGATCCCGGGCTCGCATAGAGCTCCCATTCCCCTGGGATGTTCTGCTCATGAGATGTCTGTTCACATAAGCCAGCCTGCAGAGCATAAATCCACATCCCCTGTTCACCAACAGACAGCGAACTGTTTTGGAGTCATAATTTTTTAACCCTTTTTACACTGGCCCAGCCTTCTCTGAGTCTCAGTTTAGGAGGGAGTAAGAGGTCCATGAATTAACATTGTCTGTGCCCTATTAGGTGAAGGCCTGAAGAAAAACAAATCAGGAGAAAAAAAAAAAAACAACCAAAAAAAAAACCAAAAAAAAAAATCAAAAGCAGGTTGATTTCTCATGAAAGGGGCTGCACCACCAGGTTGTTCTACGGCTTGAGATTGAGATGAGATGGTAGCGAAGCAGGCGAAGTAAAGGCGGACACGTCACACAGCAACACAGCAGGAGAAGGTGGAGAGCAACAAGACCTGGAAGAAAACAAGGCTGGAAAATGAATGAACAGAAGAGGAAATTATATATCTGCATCTACATACAAAACAAAATCAAAATCATTCCAGTAATTTGTCATTGAAAAAGGGAGGAGAAAAATAATCACTGCAACCAAATCACAGCCCCAAGGGTTAATATAATCCAGATTACAGGAAAGACTTGTTTTTTTTCCCATTTGCTTAATGTTTCAGAGAGGTTACTGCTAGAGATCGTGGGGGGGGACGGGGAGGGGAAGGGCTCTCCTCTCCTCCCCACCGTGCCGAGGAGAGAGCTGCTCCCTCTGGACAACAGCTCTGTGTTGACAAAACAAGGCTGCGGACAGGTATGAAGAAGAGTTTTAAAAGCTGTGGTGCCATTTAGTGCTTTCTCAACTACAAAGCTCGTCCCAAGCAGTTCCTTGGCCATGCAGGCTGTTAATCTTTTCCAGGCCACTAAACCCGAGCTGCAGCTCTCGGCTGTGAGGTGGAGGGGTGTGTGCAGTGGGAAGGAAAGCTATAAAGACCAGCACGAGCTATCATTAAAGTGATTTTCTTTGATTGGAAGAAAGGGCTTGTTTTTATTGGATTCATTCATTATTTAGCAGCAAGAAAGACAGTAAGTGTCAGGAAAAGGAAGAGGGATTTCCCCAAAAGGTCCACAAAAATGAAGAAGATAGTTTTACAGGAAAAAAAAAAAAACTATGCTTGGGAAAGCAGGCACTCCTCTCTATGGGTAGAAGCAGCATTCAGAGCAGAGTGTTACATCTCAAGAAACTCCAGAGAAGGAATTTGAGAAAGAAAAGTCTTCTAAGCAATTTCAGGCAGCTCTGCTATTTATGGAGGCTAGAAATATGCCTCAGCCCGCTGATCACGCTCCTACAGGAGACACGGCAGATGCCACGGCAGGCTCTGACCAGCATGAGCAGAATGTGGGGAGAGCCGTGGTTTTAGAGGCTGCAGCCCTGGAACTGTGCAAGAAAAGCCAAGTTTGCCAACCCAAAATCCCGATGCTCCCCAGGGAGCTGCAGGAGGCGGGTGAACCCGCAGCCACACACCCGGAGGAAGGGGCTCCGGGTCTCTGCACCCCGAGGACTCCCCACTCGATGGTGACCCCTTTCCCAAAGCCGCTGGCACCCTCCTGAGGTATGCCAGGATTTATCCTTGCAGTTACAGAGCCCTGCTGGGATATGGGGACCGATGGCCGAGGCTTGCCCCTGCAGCCCTTTTGCAGCTGCAATTTTGTGTGCAAAACAGGCTTCAAGGTTCATCCATGGGGTTTCCAAAGAGCTGCCCTTGCTCCTTCTCCCAAGGGATGGGTCCGAGATGGGAGAGCGGAGGCACGGCACTCTCTCCCCAGACCTGGCTGGGCACCCCTGCGCGGTGCCGGCAGCCCCGTCCTGCCGTATGCCAGCAGAGGGAACTCGAACTCTGCCGCTCCGCCAAAATCCTGGAGATTATCTCCCGTTTTCTGATTTGTGTTTCTGAGTGGCTGCGAGCTCAGACGGCTGCATGGGGCGTGGAGTCAGAGTCAGGTATAAATGGTCAACACAGAAAAATTTCCAGCACAGTCCTGGACTTAAGTCACGTAATTTCTCTTACAATAAGGAAACAGGACAAGAAGCCTTGAAAAATGGCTTTATCTGGAGCTAAACCTACAGGTGTGTCACTCAGGATGCAGTATTGGGTACCTAAAATAATTCTTTTCCATCCATACCTCTGACACTCGCACTGATTTACAGTGGGTAAACAAAAAAAAAAAAAATACATGGGAGGAAGAGCCAAAATACCAACAGAATCAGAGCAAGTTCGTTTGACTGCACTGAGAGATGAAAGGCAGATCTGAACGCTGACCGGCTGGCGCCCATGGGGTTGGCATGTGGGCAAGTGATTTCAGGCAAGCGTTCCCGGACATGTTAGTGGGTTACTGAGAAGGATTATTAGAAATGCTGTTAAACCTGGGGGGAAAAGCTGACCCCACGACGTGGAAGTGAGTTATTGTATTTGCTCAACCTCAAACAGCACAGCCTGGGCTTGGAAGGGAAAAATAAGAGGGATATGTGGACTAAGTAAACTCAAATTTAAAAAGCAGCCAAGCCAAGCTGAGCAGGGTGCTGGTGAATGTTAATTCTCTGGTGAGGTGCTAGACGGCCTCTCTGTACCCTGCCAAGCCCACCCAAGCTCCAGGACACATGGCTTCTCTACCCACGCCACCTGCACCAGCCAGTTCCCAGGCTACCGGCGGAGAAAGCAAGCATGCCCACCCCAAACACTGCCCGCAGAGCCTCCCTGGATCATGGCACCCTCCTCCGGCAGCACGGGCTGTGATCCCTGGCCAAACCCAGCCAAACCCTTTGGCAGGAGGGGACCCCTCCCCCAACTCTCTGCCAGTACCCCTCCTCCCAAATGCTGGACCAGGCTCAGCTCGTGCAACGCCAACTCCTCTCCTTACACTCATCCTGCTCTGATAAAGGCCCTGGGCTGACATAGGGGAATTTTTGCCAATACTAATAAAACAATAAAAACCTGTTAACAGCCCCAGGAGCCCAGTTGGGCTGGGAAAAACAGACTTTCCCTGGGAAAAGGCACCTGCCAGCAGGCAATGAGTGAGGCTGACATTAAAAAAGGACAGTCTCTGGCAGCAGCATCCTCTCCCGGGCCCCGTTATCTGCCTGTAAATCTGTTCCTCCCTGTCCTCAGCTGGCACATCCCAGCTCGGTGCTGGATCCCGGTGATGTATGATACCCCCAGGACCAGAGTGGGGGACTGTCAGCACCGGAGGAATGCGCTGTCATCTCATACTGGGGCAGGCACTGGCCAGGGTGTCCTCTGCAAGCGAACCCAGTGGGGATGCGATCCCACCCACACCTGGGCCAACACAGTGCACCAGTTCAGCCTGCAAACCAGCAGCCACCAGCCTTGCCTCAGCCCCGTCCCCAGCTGGGGTGGCCAGGGGACCTCTGTGGCACCCAATTCCCAAAGCAGAGAAAGCCAAACTTCTTTATCCCCAGTCTGGCACTCTCTGTGCAGGCTGTCGAGGTCGGGCTGGGTTTGGCATCCTCCTGCCAACCAGTGGCACCGGCACAAAGCTGCACCGCCCTCCCCAGACCTGCTCCCAGCTCTCAGCGTGAGGAAGCCAGGCTGGAAAACAGTCCTTTAGGGGCTGGGAAGAAACAGAGGAGAAGCGCCGGCTGAAACTGTGCGAGAGAGAACATGCCCGGAGGAAAACCAGGGCAAGAAAATCAGACTGGCAGGCGGCCCTCTCGCCTGGGGCCCGTCTCCCGGTTTGCTCTGCTGCCCTCACAGCACAAATGCGTCTCTCCCAGGGCAAGTCAAGCCCGTCCTTCGCCTCGCCCGGAGAGCACCAAGCACGCCCGTGCGCAGTGCAGGCGTGTGTGCAGATGCCCTCCCCATCCTCCTCCATACTGAGCTGTTTTGCAGCCCTGCCTCAGCACTGCACCCGCCTCTCCTCTCCCAGATTAATGCCGTGACATTTTGAAACCTCTCTCAGCTCATTAGGCAGTTGCGTAACGCACCCAGCACTAACACCATTTAGAGAGCTAACCTAATTAATGGTGCCAGCTGCCAGCATGTGCCGTGCTGGGAGGGGATAAGGAGGGTGGGCTTGCTTGCAAATACGGCCATCAAGCATCACCCGCCTCAGCCAGCTGTCCCCAGAGCAGCCAGGCAGGGTAACACCTGCCTGCTGGCACTACTAAGGACACCCCACCGCCTGGTCGGCGTGGATGGGCATCCTTAAACCCAGGAGCACTGTAATAAAAAGGGGCTTCACCCAGAAAATACCGCCTGCTCTGTCCAGTGCTGCGGCGGGGACGCAGCCTCGCTGCCGTTGCAAGCATGCAAGGAGATTAGCCACTCGTTCCTTACCTTCTCTCATTGCCAAAGAGCCGGGCCACTTCTTCTCTCCCAGGGCTACGGGCCCGGGTTTTCCGCTCTAGCCGCTTCCTCTCCACCTGGAAGGCCTCACGATTACTGATCCTAATGGCCTTGGGAACGTCGGCCAGGGTGGTGTACTGCCGGCTGGCTTTAAAAGAAAGGGGACGCCCCGATTTTTCAGCTCCCCTTCCTACATCTCTGCTGCTGGAGTCCTTGTGCATGGGGCAACTGCTCTTCGAGTCCAAGGAGTTCAGAGAGAAGCTGTGAATCATTCGGTCGCCTGATCGGGTACCTGGGGAAGGAAAGGGCTGGGCATGCTCCTGCGAGGGCGATTTGGGATAACTGTACCTGTTGTTTGGGGTGCTGGGGCTGGGTGGGCTCGGCGGGGGTGGCAGCTGCTGCTCTTCCAGCTTCGAGTCTTGCTTGGTCTTCTCCAAGGAAAAGTACCCGCTCTCGACGCGTGTCTTCCTCCCGCAGTCTATCCGGTCTCCGTTCATGGAGCTCTCATCTAAGGGACAGAGAAATCACCGTGCTTGGTTTCAAGTCCGAGTTCTGCTTTTAACAGAAAACACCCTGATTTCACCCAGGACAGGGACAGGAAACAAAAGCAGATAGTCTGGGCCCCAGCCCCATGCTATGCCATCTCCTGTACCCTTGGCTTTTTCACCCTGACCACCCTTCATGCCCATGGAGATGATGAGATGGTCCGCAGGGAACTGGGGATACCAGTCCCTCAAAACTTGGTCCTTCAAACCAAGAAACAGATGGCCGCAGTCACCACTCTGCACCCATTTCCATCCCTGGCCTTCCCAGCCCGGCATCAACCACAGCTCCATGGGCACAAGGCGATGGACATCTCGCTCTTGGCAGCCCAGCGTGGACGGAAAGCGTCCCCCATCCGAGCGGGCAGATAAAGGAAATGGCTGCAGCGCAGGGGACCCATCCACAGCTTGGCAGGAAAAGTCCCCAGCCCCTGTTGTTCCAAGGAGAACAATGCCACGGCCCCGACGCCTTCCAGGGACTCATTGGGGAGACCAAACGTAAGCAGGGCCCTGACGCAGGGGCCAGAGGAGGAAGCAGCGCTCAGGGCTTGGCAGCCCTGACAGCTGGGCTGAGCAGAGCATGGCCCCGTGCCCTGCGGGTGCCCCAGGCAGGGATGTGGAGGGGCTACAAAAGGCATTTTCCTCCTCGTTTTACAGGGGAATATCACCCGCAAAGACAGGCAGCCCTGTCTCCCTGCCGGGGCAGGCTTGGGCCTCCAGTTGTGATTTTCTGGCACGTGATGCAGATTTCTTTCCTTCCTGAACTCCAGCCCGCGATGCCTCGCTCCGGTCCCCGCACAGCAGGGACGAGGTCTGCCTCCCCCTCCTTGCTGGGATGCTGCAGGAACCAAACCCACAGAAAAACTTTTCCCTCTACGACGGTTTTCTGCCAGCTCAGCTGCCCAAACTGGGTCACCGTGGCGTCACACCAGTGCTGGCACCTGAGGGACAGGCCTCACCTTCCTTGCTGTCCAGCACGGGATCCTTCAGGGAGCTGGCAGCCCCGGCCTGGCCTTGCACCGGGCTCTGTGCCGGGCTGATGCCGCTGCCCCCGTCCACTTGGTCTTTGCCCCTCATTTCTTCCTGCCAAAGTGTGGACTTGGTGGCAGGGACCTTCTCCGCACTGGGGATGTTGCTGCTGGTCACGGCCATCTTAGCAGGACCGGGTTCCTAAAGACAACAGGGGGGACAGCAGGGTTAGAGGGGTTTGCCCCAACTCCGCACCCAGGGTCCCCGTGGGGCTGTCACGGGAGGTGCGGGTCCCACACGGCTTGGGTGCTGCCCACGACGTGTGCCCTGACAGGATGGGGACGGGGCCGCTCAGCTATGTGCCACCACTGCATTCCCAAGGGGACACACTCAAAGAGGAAACCCCAGCGCGGTGGGGCGACGGGTCAGGACTTCCTCGGCCGAAGGGACCACCACCGCTCTCACAGCATGAGAGGAAACATCCCTCACCATCCCTCCCTTGGGAGGGCTCCCGAAACCAGCCGCACCTCCCCACGCTTCCACCTGGGAAAAGATCCAGAGCACAGGCGAGCTGACAAATGAAGGAAACTTTCATTTGGGCGCTGCGGCAGCGGAGGGGCTTGCTGGCTTTGGTTTTGCATAGGAACTGTCCCTGCCAGTGAGGTGCACAGGATGCTGTGGCCACCGACGTGTAACTCCTCAGCAAAAGCTCATCTCATCTTGAGCGGAGCAAAGCCCCGGCTCTTCCCCAGCATGCAGGGTCCCATGCAGCTCTGCTCACGCTCCAGCACAGCAGCTCTTCCCAAAGCTTCATGGTGCACGAGTGAGGCTCTGCGCCCAAATTCATATGCAACGCTACAGACCCACAGAGAAACAGATCTGTTGGATCCTGACTCATTGGGAACTTGGAAATGCTCCCTTCACTTCTGCCAAAACCCAGTTTGGGGTGACAGTGCACCCTCCAATTGATGCAAATGAACACAGCATTCCCCATTTCCCTGGTCCTTCTGCATGTCCCCCATCCTTCTGCACATTTCTGGTCCCTCTGCGTGTCCCTGGTCCCTCTGCAAGCTGTCTCACCAGCATCCGCTGCCTTCCACAAAGACAGACCAACACCAGGTTTCTCTCCTGGGTCCCATCTGCCAGGACTGAATTTTGTCAGCGCTATAACTAACATCAAAAAACCAGAAAAAATCAAGCTAAAGGACACGGGATGGTGGAGAAAACTAATTCCCTGCCACCAGCAGCCGCGTTGTTTGTTTGTCACAGCTGGTTTGCTACGGGCCACTGATAAAAAGAATAAAATCCAACTGGCGCTGTACTCCTCCTGGGTGCTTTGGTTACCTAACATGCTGCTTGTTTTAAAAAGGAAATACAATATTGCGTTGAGCTTTACACTATTTTAAAACAATATGCATCATCTTAAATGCTTCTCTAGTTAACAAGGGGCTCTGGAGTCCATCAGATGATGATGCCATTTTGGTGGCTGCAGCCCGGGCAGTCCAGGTTTGGTGCACACCCCAGAAGAGGCAGCAGCTTTCACAACTCATTTAGGGTTTGGCTTTGTTCGTTAGCAGATGTTTTTGCTGTTGTCATATTAAGCTTCTGCATTAGTAGATTATTTTCCTTAAAGCCACCAATAAATCAATGACAACTAACCCCCCTAGAAAGTCTCTGGATTGTGGGAAGTTTCCCAGCTGCTTATTTCCTTTCCACAGAGCAGGGGGAATCCAGGAGCACCCGAGCCAGCAGGCATGGGCTGGGAACACGAGCTGCCAAGAGCATCCACTCTGTCCCCACTCCCACATCAGCAGAGCCACCAGTGGGTTTTACCCTTGCACCTCCACATCGGCATTTGCAGGGCTGCGCCGGCGCCACCGGGGATCTCCCAGGGAGTGGGTCCTGGCTCCACACACAGCCACAAACAAACAGCAAATGACCTCCATTTTTTAAAAAAAATCCCCTTGGAAATTTCACTCTAAAGGAATGCAGTGTTGGAGGTAAACGATCCAGAGCTCAGAGGCATCCTGCTCAAGGGGACCCCGCCTGAGCAAAGGGTCAGACCAGACAATCTCCAAGGTCCCCTCCACCCTCAACCACTCATTCATTGATCCAAAAGCCCAAAGCTAATCACCAGCTCAGGATATATATTTTTATATATCCCTTACACACACCCCCATATAATTATTTGTAGATATGTATTTAATTAGACAGAGATATGAGGGCCAAAAAGCAGTCTATAAGCAAGCAGAGAAATTAACTCTTTGTCGCTCAGCAATATGAACAGCTCCAAAAAGGAGCATGTACCAAAATCAGCAAAACCAGTCTCCAGTTGCAGTGTGTCTGGGCATGCTCTGCTCACCCGAGCCTGCCGCACCCCTGTGCAAACCCGCCCTGCAACAGAGGGCAGCGCCTCAAATCCCAGATTTCCGCCCCAAATCCTACCTCGTTTTCCCATGGACAGCAAAGAAAGCCCAGTCTTTCCTGCTGCCTGCACCACTCTGTTGGAGCACACCAAAAGCTGTAACAGAAACCTGCCCTTTTTCCCCTAAGCCTGTAACCTGCTTGCAAAGCAAAGGTGAAAACACTTCTAGAATTGCACCTAACAACCCCTGTCCAAAAAAAATCTGCAGCTGGAGCAGTATTTCCAGCCTTGCCTGTGTTGCTCCCATCCTGGTGTTTTTGCAGGGGGAAGATGCAAAATGATGGGGAGAGCTGAAAATGGCCCTGATGCCCCAGGAGCACCTGGCTGCAGCCAAGCTCTTCTGTAGCACAGAGGAGGAAAAACTACGTGGGAGTGAGAAAAAGCAGAAATATCCATTGTTTTCAATTTTCTTTTAAATCACAAAGGTGTCCATCCCTCCCTGAGCATGTCTCAGACATGATCTGCTGCTGGATTAGTGGGCGGCTGTCTTTAGAAAGAAATCAGGCTTTCTCCGCCGGCACACGGAGAGCAAGCTGAGCGGCAGCCAGCGTCAGGAGAAGCCATTTCACAGAGGAGGATTTGGTGCTGATTTTCTTCCCAGCATCCCCTCTCCTTTCCCAGACCGTCCGCCTGCATCTGCATGATTTGGAAGATGCTGGAAAGATGATTCTTGTGTTTCGCTTCTGCTTTTGGAAGTTGCTTGTGAGCGCTTGACATCACAGCATCCATCTGGTGGTGGGTCCCATGCAGAGGTTGGCTTTGCAGGAGTGAATTTGAATCTCTTTCCAGCACCGTGGGGCTGGGAGTGATGGGATGGAGATGGTGGAAGGAGGGTAGCAAGCGGGATGGTGCTTGGGACGGACCACCCCAAGCCAAGGCGGGGAAAAGTGCCACCAGGCTCCACGCTCACCCCATCCCCAAGCACCTGGGGAGCCCATCTGCCCACAGGGAGCCAGCATCCTTCCCACAGCCGCTTCCCTTATTTGGTGCTCAGGAGCTCTGATCCTGTACTGTTTCCAAGAAGTTTCCATGGCGATGAAATGTAACCCAGAATGATGTTTTTCTGGCTCTGTGCCCCTTCTCCTCTCCACCCTGTCCCCTTCCTGAACCCAGCCTGGGTTTAGCGTTGCACCAGGGATGGGGTGAGCATCCCTGCCCTGCTGCACGAGCTCGCTGGGGTGCCACGAACGCAGAAACCCCCTCCCTGGGGCTCAAAAATGGGCAACTCGTAACACATCAGCTCTTGGCCATGGAGGGAAGAGGCCTCTTTCCTGAAGCATCACTGGAGCCAGCACTCGAGGGGCTGTGACGACTCCAGCCCTTGGCAGGGGGTGGCTCAGACTTCCAGCTTGGCATGCAAAAAAATCATCATCTTCCCCCCCAGTTTTTTTTTCCCCCCATTGCCCAGAACCTCTTTATCCAGTGGAGTGGTGGAAGCTTGACTCTAACAAACATCCTACAACACCTACCCATGGCCTGGTTTGTATCAGGACCATCCTGAGGAATTCGTCGAAGGAGACCTGAGAACTGGGGCTCAGAGAAGCCCCGATGCTGTTTTCAGCCCCCCCCGCAGTGCCACAACCCGGCTCGGCCGGAGGAGCCCTCCCAGCCAGACCCCCGCAGCGGTGGGACGCGCGCCGGGAGGTCAGGCAGCCTCAGGGACGCGGCTGTTCTCAGCCCCGGCGAGGGACGAGGGTGGCCTCGGGGTCACGTTCCCCATCTGTGGGATTCTCCCCCACTCCGGCCACGTGGGAGCCTGGCAGGAACGAGTGAGTCACGGCCGGCCCCGCTTTTTACCATTTATAGTCAAAATGAGCACGAAGCCACCACCGGGTCCCTGGAGAGCCCAGCTCCGGCCCCCGGAGCTCCCAGCCTGGCCCTGGCCTTTAGTATTTTCCTTTCATTCCCATTATCTCTGGGGTCATCTCAAAGGGGGTAACCGGAGCCCGATGGAATTTCATCTTGTTTCTACCGAAACGGCCCACGAACAGCCAGCACCTCTCCCCGGTCCCCCACGGGGAGCACATGGCTTTGCAGCCGCTCCCGGGACAGCGTGTGCGGGGCTGGTGCCACAAAACAGGACCCGGGGAGGGGGTGAAACATGGCCCCAAAGCAGCCAGGAGAGAAACAGCAGCGGTGTGTGACTCTGGGAAGTGATGACCAGAAATTAATTCACGCCGTCCTGCTGCCTGGGCTCACCCTGGCTCTCACCCTCTACGCAGGCAGCATCAGAGGGCTGGCAGCCTGCTGGTGTGGCTGGTTTGGGGGGGACTGTCCCCAGGAGCTGAGCAATGCCACAGCCCTGAGAGGGAGGCGAGGGACTGAGCAACAGTGTGTGTCCCCCTGGGGTTACCTGGGGAGTCGGGGGCTCTACCTTCCTCTTCTTCTTCTGATTCTGCTTGTTTGTCCTCGGATAGACTATCAGCATCTCCAGCCACCTGCAGGCAGAGAAAAACAAAAGGTGAGGAGGTCTGTGCCAAAGGGCAGCGCGCAGGGACAGGAATGACGCTCGCACTCCGTGGGGTGCAACGCAGCTTCCCACAGGCTGCGGACCCCAAGGCTGTTCCCCTCCACGGGGAGACACTGCCCCATCCCAGGCCCGGGGCAGGCTGCCTGCAAGCTCCAGAGATAGAGCAGCCACATTTCACCCCTAACCCCAGCCCTCCGGGGTTTGTGACTTGACCGTAAACACAACCCCAAGCTGGAGCTGGGCACACAGAGGAGCTCAGCTTCTCCAACCTGGTCAGGCTCAGCGTGGTAAACAGTAACCAGAAATCATGCCAACCAGCTCCTGGAGGGAAAATGAGGCAGGACAGGAGGGGAGGAGGAATTAACCCAGGGTGCTTTGGCTCAAACCCCACTCACTACAAGAGCGAGGCCACGGCCAAGGCTGACACGGGACAATGATCTGAGGATCCTGAAAGACCATCGAGTGGGTCAGAGCCTCCAGCAGGACATTCCTCCTTCAACGAAGCCAAGGCCCGTACACTCCACACAAAGCACTTTTGTCTAAGAAAGAGCAGTGTGAACTTGGCATTGAGAAGTCCATCCCCTGCATAAGTCCCTTGTTTGGGGGACCCTCCCAAGCCCTCCCACTGCAGCCTGATGACCTGCCCCTGCTTCTCTGCAAACTCCACAGAGATCCACGGACCGCTGGAAAACATTCCTGCTTTAGATGTCCCTGCTTCCCTCTCCTGTTCCCCCCACTTCGCACGCTGCTGCTGCTGTAAAGCGTTTTGAGATGACCACATCAAGTGGGTTTTGGTTAAGCAATAAATGCCAGAAGCATGCAACAAACGTAAAACAAATTCTCCTCTGGCTGGGGAAATCTTCCTGTCGTGCTGCAACTGCAAATGAAACCCGCTTGGCTCGGACCCAGAGTGGGACTGTTTTGGGATGATTAATGCTTGCAGTCAGAAGCAAACGCACTGCTTCAAAATCCAGTGCTGGGCCAATGAACAATAAATCAGCCCCACCTTGCTCTGCAATGTCTCTCCCTCCCGCGTGGCTGGCAGGACCGGCAACAAAAGGCTGAGCTGCGAACCTGAGTGTGGGGAGAGGGAGGAGAGAGCAGGGCATGGCCGTGTTTTGGGGTGCAGCCATTGCTCCTGCCTCGGCTGGAGGAGAGGAGCCGACTCCCCCATACCACAATTCCCCCGTGTCTCTGCACCCCGGCTCTGCAGCTGCTGCACCCCACTGCTGCAAACGGGGCCGGGGGGGTGGCCGTGACACGGGAGGATGGGTCTGCCAGCCCGAGGCAGTGGACGGAGGAAGAATCACCCACACACACCCATCTCAGCAGAGCAGGGAAGTTTCAACGCGTCAGAACATGTATCTGATCAAAACCACCAAGCTCTTGGTAGAAAAATGACTATTTCAACCAGTATTTACCAAAATGGGGGGAGTCACAACCAAAGAAAATGCCTGGAAATAGAAATCATCTCAACAGAAAGCTCTGACTCTGCTGCTGCAGGGTCTCGGACAAGCAGGAGACACTGTGCCTCAGGAAGAGTGGAAAAGAGTGAGTGCTTCATCCCTTCAACTTTCTGCTCTAGTTTCAAATGTCAACAAATTTTAAGAGGGAGGCACCAAGCTCCAGACATCCCATGTGGGAAATGCTTGCAGGTGAGCAGCAGCAGCGTCTCAGCCTGTTGCTGCGTGCTGGCAGCTCGGCTCTCCCCAGCACCAGCTCCAACCCAAGCCGGCATGTGAGCAACGGACGAGGATGTTTCTAGGTCACCATCCAACACCTGGAGTCAGGAAATCTACTGTGATTTGCTCATTTTAGTGGTGTAATCCTTCAGCGTTGCCAAGCAACTGCATCCCGGTGGCAGGCGCTCCTCTGAGGGATATTTTGATCGTCCTTGGAGGTCAGATGCTCCACTGGGACCAGGGGGGTGGGTTGCATCCGTCCCCCTTGCCAGCCTGCCTGCAGCGAGCGAGCAGAGCAAAATGGGTGCTGAGAAGGCGAGTCTGAATGGGGACACAGCCCCAGGAGGCCACGTCTGCTCAGGGATGGACAAGGACTACAGGGCTTTGGTGCTTGGGGTCAGACACGCCAGCCCCACGACCACGGGACCTGATGCTGGTGTGGGGACAGGACCTATGCCAGTGGGCTGATCAGATGTTGTCCTAAAAGCACCGTGGGGTCACTCCAGCACCCATCAGCTCCAGCCCCGTCCTGGTGTTCATCCTGCAGCCAAGCTTCTTCCCCCAGCCAGTAAATAGCTGCTTTCTGCTGGAGCTGAAGCTGTCATGGCCAGCCCTGGAGCACCTCAGCATCAGATGCACCCTCTGAGCATCCCACAAACACTCCACAGTAACTCAGCTCGCTCCCGGGGGTGAAGGCCCCTGGGAGTCTTGTTCTGCAGCAGGGAGCAGGATATTGCCCAACGGCAGACGACAAAACTGGCCTGAAAACAGTGGCTTTCCTAAGTAACAAGTGACTCAGGAGCATCTCAGCTCCAGGGCCTTGCCAAGGCTCCTGGCAGAGGTTGAGCTTACTTGAGCACTGGCTCTGAAACGTGTCCAGCACGGTGGGAAGCCTCAGGCTTCAGCCCGGCACGGTTGAGCCGGTGCACTATGTGTGGAGGAAGGACTTAAATCATCCACTGCTGAAGTCAGTGATCACACTCACACCATAAATCTGGTGGCTTTGGGGGTGCTCAGGCCCCCGCTTTGCTGCAGAGCACCAGGTGATGGCAGGGGTCTGCCAAGCAGGGGAGCAGGGAAGGGGAAAGAAACTCCATCCTTACCAAAAAGGTGGAGAAGACCAGAGCTGACAGCGAGGCAGCAGCTCCCAGGACTGTCCCTGCAGCAGGCTGTGATCGTCACTCAGGGATCAGCCTTGGGTACGCACTGCCACAGCACCTGGCCTTGGGTAAGGTCCTACCCACCCTCCTCTTCCTCTTGGTTAAGGGAAGAGCCCCGCAGCAGCTCAGCCCCAGACCTGCACTCACCCGCTGATGATCTCCTTGTTCTCGGCCCGGATGAAGTGCTCCTTCTCCGGTGTCAGGATGCACAAGGAGAATTTCTGCCCTGTCCGGCTCTCCCCATCCACCACATCCGTGCACTGGTTCATGTTGATGGTGCCCTGCGGGAGGGTTGTCGGCTGCGAGGGGAAGGAGAAAGGAGTAACGTTTAAGGAGAGGAGTGCAGACTTGAGCCCTAAAACGTCTCCTGGTGGTCACCAGGATCCTACACACCAAGATGCTGTGCCCCACAAATGCCCAGACCCACCCGTGCACCGTGCTGGCACACAGCAAAGCCCTGTGACACACATTTGGGGAGACAGACCAACAGGCACGACTCCTGCTAGCCCAGTCCAGCCCAGCCCAGTTCACTGCTGCCAGAAAGACACTCCTATGCCAAACGTCCAGGGAAAGGATGGCTGCCCACCAAGGGAAGGCACTTTGGGTTTGTAGCTGCAAACCATCTGGGGTGGTGGGGTGGCACCTGGGGACAGGGGGTGGCAAAGCAGCAAAGCCCCACTGCCCTCAGCGCAGGATGGCTCAGGCACTACAGACAGACAGACACCATGTTTTTCCCACTAAAGTCAACACATCATGGAGTTTGCCAGCGAGGTCAGCAGACACAGTGGAGTGGGACAGGAGGTGGCCACCCCCCACCCCGGTCCGAGGGGACACGGAAGGTCCCAGAGGGGTGTCAGCACTGACGAGAGCTGACAAGTCCATCTGGAGCGGCGCCGGCTCATCCGATTACAGCGCAGCCACCCGGGGCATGGTGCCCGCAGCCCTCCCGCCCTGAACAGCAATGCCATCTCTCCCCCATCCCCAGCCTGCCTGTGCCCCACCAGGCTTGGTGACACTGGGGTCCCCCCCACATCCCCGCATGAACCTGCACCTGGGGTATAAACAACCAGGCAGGGGGACCCCTCCGAGCTGCCAACAGCACTGAAGGAGCACCCAAAGCAGCCTCTGACCACCTCCTTGGACCCCCCTAAAGCCTCCTTGTGCACTCCAGATGGCTGCGACAACAGGGAGATGGATTTTTGGCAGATGCTGTTAAGGTTTTTACCATGGCAACCAGCTCCCCTGCCAGTAAAACCCCTCCAAAAGCAGCCTGCGCCATGCAAAAAAGGGGCGATTGAGGAGAGCTCAATGGCCCCAGCCTATGACCCCAAGAAATTCAGATCAGCCACGCGAGGGCCCCAGTTTACCCATCTGCAGGTTGTGGAAAATAGCCCCCTTCCCCAGAAAAAGGGCTTTCCCTGCAGCTGTGTCCCCTGGCAGGAGCATTCTCTGCCAGCCCAAAGGTGGCATGGTGCCATCACCCGTGCTGCAGCATTGGTGCCCAGCATGGGCACACGAATGGGACCGATCATACATCAGGGACACCAACATCTCCTCTTTTCCTTTGTGGAAACATCCACAGAGCCCACAGGAGGGAGGGAGGGAGGGAGGGAGGGAGGGAGGGAGGGAGGGAGGGAGGGAGGGAGGGAGGGAGGGAAAGCAATCCAAGCCCAGACCCCCGGCACAGCACACACACAACTGCCCACCCTGCACCACTGTGGGTAGTCGGCTCCTAAGAGGATTTTTTGTCTTAGACAACAAAAATAAAACCCTGCTTTCCGGGAGCTATAAAAACCCAACGGAAAAACTTTCTCCTGCTCTAAGTGGAGTCTTAGAAACGTTTTTGTCTTGCTGGCCTTCGGCACAGCCAAGGCCTCCAGGACTGTAAGGTCTGGGTCTGATCCCCTTCCCAACCCAGTGCATTTTTGCACCAGGGAATGCAACCAGGAGGGAGAAAAAAGAGGATGAGGGTGGCTCCAGGAGGAAGCCCCAGTCCCTCACGAGGACCCTGGGCCACTCAGTCCCTCTCGCCACAGGCACCGGGAGTTGGCACAGGAGAGGAGGAGATGGCTCCCTGCGAAACCCGCCTGCTCTCCTCCCTCTTTAACCCCACGGCAGCGTTCAGGGCGGCTTCCCCCGCTGCTCACACCCAGCCCCGACCCAAGTGTGCCCGGAGCGGAGGAGCCGGTTTGGGGCCCCCGCCACGGCCAGGCTGGCCCTGTGAAGTGGTTTTGCCGTGCACCCTTCCTTGAGAGGGTGAACATCGGCATCTCGCACGGCCCAACGCATGGGTCCCCATCCACCAGCGTGCCTCCGAGCCGGGAGGCCAGGAGAGGGACTGCCAGCAAAGCTGGGACAGACGCCTTTTGCATCTGTGGCCAGGGACAGGACGGGCACCAGAGATGAACCTTCCACCCCACGGCAACTCCCCTGCACCCCCACACCTCCTGGCAGCAGATGAAACCTGACGGACCAGCAGCCTCACTCGCTCGGGATGTAAATTCTTTACACCATTTATTTCCTTCCTCGGAGGCAGCGCAGTCACCTTGAAGCAAAGGAAAATGCAAATGGTGCCAGGTGGAAATGCACGCGCACATACACACACACACACACACGCAAACTCCACCGAGGAAAGGGATGGGTCTCGGGCAGCACTGCACCCCGGGAGCGCCTCGGAACCAGCCGGGGATCCCCGGCGGAGGAGCTGGAAATGGCACACGGCTGCTCTCCCGAGGGACAACGGGGACAGCCCTTGCGTGCCAAAGCTGCGGGGCGGTGGTGTGGGAGCAGGGGAGATGGGAGAAGCTCTGCAGCAGGGCACAAGGACACATGGACCCATTCCCCACCCATTTGTGCGCTGGAGGTTTTCTCAGGGCTGGCATCCCCAGGGAAGGATGAGCAGAGCTGGTCCTCAGGCTGGTCCCAGGCCAGGTGAGGATAGCGTGGCTCCAGCAATTGGAAGGGAATAAATAAATGCAAAAGCAGGGAGGTGTTATATTGCAGAGACGCCAAAACAATAACAAGGCTGGGACTTCAACCAGCCCTTTGAAGAACAGATGCTTTGATACAACGTCAAATCCAGTATCGGACCCCGGGGCGGCTTCGTGTCCGGGTGAGGCAGGAGTGGACACTCAGGCTCAGCTCCGGCTCCAGCTGCCAGCTTCTGCCAGTCCCCGCCTCGGGGACAGCCCCATCCCCAGGCGCTGGCCTTGCCCTTTGCCATTTCCCGTGCTGCTGGCAATGGGATGGAGCACACAGCTTCCCTGCGACTGGATCTGGCGCCTGACTGTGTCTTTTAACTGGGGGGAGGAGGAGCGAAAGCACAGCAGGGTGCACCAGCAAAGGACACCATGACAGGCACCATGACAAGCAGCAGCTCTCCTCGGTGCCACCAGCCACCTCCAGCCCGGTGAGCAGAGAGGACTTTGCCAATTGCCGGCGCAGGGAAGGCAGCACCCTCACCGTACGAGCAGCTACAGCTCTCCACGCTGCCAGTATCAGCAGAGGAACCGGAGCCAAGAAACAATCGCGTTGCTGTTTCCCTCTGGTATGACAGATCCATATTTACACACACACACGTGCTCGCAGCGTGTCCTCCCCTCCATACTACACAAAGCCTATAGCACATTCTCCTCCTCCTCCTCTCCCTTCCTGGGTGCCCAGGACGTGAGTCACACCGTGCTCTCTACATCTACAACCCCAGCAGCCTGCAGATGAGATGCAGGAAATTTCAGATACATGCTCTTAGGATTCAAAGCCCAGCAACTGCAGCAGCCCCCACTGTGGAGAGTGGAAAGGAGGGAAAGAAAAAATGGGGAGCTCTTATAAGCCCAAAGGAAGAAATCCCAAGCAGGGCATTACTGGGGAGACCCAGTGCTGCGGCGGGAGGATGCACAGTGCTGGATGCTCCATGGGCAATGAACTCCCAGGCACAGGGGCTGATGCTGTAAATCAACAGGGTTTATCTGCAAGAGTCCCTCATTTTCATACAGTTTTGCCGGGCTGAGGTAGAAATACAGGACTATTTAAGTTCAAAAATTTTCTCCAAGTACCTTCCCCATCACTTCTAACACGTGTTCATCATAGGAGCTCGATCCAAAATACAATGGAGCTTCACTCAGCAACTGTACACAAGATGTTTTCTGAGCAGGTAACCCCACGGTCAAGCTCCTGAGGAGCGGTTCTGCCACAGCCTCCGTGGGACACGGCCAATGCCCACGCCGTTCTCCAGGGCTATTACACAACGTGGGTTGATGAAATCTGGAACACAACCTTTAAAGAAAGGCGATGGGGCAGGGGGAGGAGGAAACCAAACAAAAGGGACATTTTACTTTCTGCCAAGAACCAGGAGGGGAAGGAAAAAAAAAAAAAAAAAAAAAAAAAAAAACAAACCCACAACCATTTGTCTATCTTGCATGGCGGGGTGGTTGCCTTGGCACCAGGGCCTGGCTGTCCCAGGGGGGAGATCGTGACTCTGCCATCCCGCTCCACTGTGATGGTGCATGGGAAGGGCTCGGGCTCTGGCTGGCTCTGTCTTGGCTCCCTGGCTCTCCAGAGCAGCAGCGAGCCCGCAGTGCCTGGGGAAGAGACATCCATGCTGCCTCCATAAATGCTTCTTGACAAATGTTAATTCTCCGAGCTAAAATATTCATGAGGGTGGCTGCCGCCGAGCGCGCCGCTCATTCGCAGCCCTCTCGAGTACTCTGCAAAGGCAGCTGCTGTGTTTGCTAAAAGCTTCACCCACCCCCAGTGCCCAGGTTCGGCTGATTGTGGTGCTCGAGGTGGGATGCAAGCGGGATCTTGGCTGGGCTGCAGCGTGAGAGAGAGCAAGACCCCGCTGCCCTGTTGTCACTGGCGCCAGAGCAACATTGGAGACAACCATGCCTTGGGCAAGGGCAGCAAAACAGCTTGGACAGGCAGCTCGTGGCACAGGGAGCCCACCCCAGCACCACCTCCACCATTCCCACCTGAAAGCCATCAGCAAGAAACCACCAAACTCCTTGAAAAGTCTCACAGAGCTCCCTTTTTGGCTGTACGAGGCTCTGCACGGCCTCCCTAAATCCCAGCTGGGGGTGCACCGTGCACCCACTGGGTCCAGCTCGGCTGGGTGCTGCTGCTGGGGTGCTCAGCCTGCCGGTGTTGAGGGGGGGGCCGTGGTGCACCCCGAGCTGCCCAGGCGCCGGGCGAGCCGGGCTGGCACAGCAGCAGGGCTTTAATGAGCTTTTTAGGCTTCCTGCCACTAGGCACAAGGCTATTGATATGGCCACAACGCGACCAGAGCTCTGCGGCGGGCAGATTT